TTCATTTCTATTTCAACCTTATCTATGGATCCAACGAAATATTTAGGAAGCCACAAAATCATAAATATTCACTTATTATTTCTTGAACAAACTATATTTTCTTTTAAATAGGTTTAACGTACGAACACGTATGTTTGTATATACGTGTAAAGAGAGAGAGAGAGAGAGAGAAGGAGAGAGTATATATGTGTGTGTGTGTGGCACTAAATTTAAGGGCATTTACATGTGTTCATAGACCTTTAAACTGTAGAAATTTCTTTTCAGGACATGAATGTATACAAATGGAGTCATCAAAAAATCCCCATGATTACAATTACACACACACACACATATAGATGGATGGATGTATACCAGTGTAATAATCTTAATTTCAGATAATATAGATCATTCTATTAATTCTCTCTTCTTTTTATATTAAACCAACTGAAATTCATTTTTGATAATATTTTCCAATAAAATCATTAATCATGAAAACAAAAGAAAAACATAAATAGCAACTAAAAAAGAGTACAGTTCATATTCTCATCATGGTTTTATATCAGATCTATGGCATGGGGGGGTATCATTGTCTATACAGTATACATATATTTATCGATTCAAATGATCACATTATATCAACGAAAGGATATGAAAATCTCCGAATAAATGTCAGAGTAGTTAATGTGATTAATAGTATCCAGGGTAATAGGATTGAAGATTGAGTATAGACAATATGTTTCTGACAAAAAGAAATTAGGAATAAAAAATATAATTTCAATAGTTTAGATGATGAGTCAATTGAAGCTAGACCACTATGGAAAACCTGGAAGCACTAGATGGCCGTTTCGTCCTATTGTAAGACTCCTCAGCAGTGTGCATCCACGACTCCGCCTCGCGGGATTCGAATTGTCGTAACCTCTAGTAACTGCTATGATAGCTGATACTAGAAATCATTTCAAATTTCACAACATAAATAGGAACACCATACAATATATGTGGATAATTGGTGCAAAAATAGATAACTGTTGTTGACCGTTTGAACCTGTGAGTTACACTATATAAATAAGTATACGAAAAGGATAAATATAAATCTATTTGACAATCGAAATAGGTTAAAATGAATGACTTAAAACACAGATTTGGGACACAAAAGAAAAGTAATCGACTGCAGATGGTCTAAAAGACAGCGAGTATTCCGTATTTGAAGTGCTTAAGGTTGATTGCGTGAATGTACGCTACCATGGATTTTAGGTGTTTGTATATTTACGTAGAATGTTGACATCTATAAAACCACCAAATTCGTTGTCAACAACATTACCTACATCCTTTGTCTTTATTTAGTGTAAAACTCAAGTTGGTTGCTGCTGTGTAACGTTTTCTGAAAAGCATCGAATGAACAATTTTGTTGGAGAGTCTATTGCAGCAGGGTGAGTAAATAATATGATTGAAAATGGTCACATACGATTCTATAGATTAATATCATGAGCAACATATTGTCCTTTTCAAAGTTAAAGAGATGACTGACAATCAATGAGTTTGAAACTTTTATCGCCTTCCATCGGTGTTAATAGTACCTTCTGCATTGCAGTTAATAGAGTTTACTACTATTGCAGTCCCATTTGTCGTGCTTCTTGTTCGAGAAATACACCTGTCGACCTGGCTGATGTGTCTAGGCGTATCACTATGAGCAGACGCTTGATTAGTTAGGTGGAGTTCAAAACAGCGTTGAATAAATTCTAGCAAGTAGGAGAAACATATTCTTAAATATAGGAAATTGCTCATTAAGTGACACTAGGTTTAAGTATACATTTGTTTTTTTCGAGTGTACCTTCGGCCGAAAACGTAAACCACAAGGTTTAGGAATAATTAATAAACTTTGAGGACTGCAAATCTAAAGTGACATTTCAGGCCCAAGTTTCTGAATTGCTAGTCAGTGTTCTGTATAGTTCTACAACTGGATTAGTACGTGATAAAGTTATGCCAGATGATACATAATCAGCCTTGTGGAAATTCATGGACGATCTGCGATCTATGAACCGGCTGATTGGCTTCAGAGCATGAGGAAAATTTGATGCCAGTACTAATCCAATCATCATCTTTCAATCAACTGGTGGAATGTGTTAAAGAACCGACTAACCATGAAGTCAAAACAATGAAAGCAAAAATGTCTACAGGTAAGTATGTGCTCTTATGTTTCCAGGCTGCGGTACTGGATTGTAAGTTTTCAGTTTCCTAAGACAATGAGGTGAACCAAGAGAAGTTTCTTCCAAAGTCGAACAGGGAACTTGAATCTGCTTTAGTAGCTACATTTAGAGCGCATTCTGTAAACAATATTCAGAAGTTTTGGGTATGGGTTTTACTTACCATACCAACAGCAAGAAGTGAGTATGCTGTTTGATAACTTTTACTTTGTAGGTATTCGTTGTTTCGGTTGGTGGTAACTGATAACTTCGGTCGCAGTCGTCCTATTTTATTTACATGGATACAAATGGAAAGGAGAGTCTATGAGATCTGGATATTAGATCGGTTTACTGAAATAACGAGTGGCACGTTTAGGACATAGATGTTCGTCATGGATTGTGAGTAGGCTGCGATCGCCGCAGTCCTAAACACCCACTGACAAGTCAACATAATCCTATGCGTCTTTCACGTTTGCCTTGGCTTTATAAAAAGGTAAGTGAATGCAGGTCAATAGCATTGTACTTAGTTAGGCCAGCAATAATAATTTAAGGGCCTATCTTTGACTCTTAGTTAAGGCGGAAACTGTTGGACGGTAATGCTTACAATGCAATTATTCTTTAGATTTAATCAATATTTTAGAATCATTTCTCGTGGATTGGGGCGGTATCTGAGTTGGTCATGGCCCAACAGAAAGGCTATGTGGGCCGCAGCTTTCAACGGCCACATAATATCACTGGAAAACATTAATAATAACCGTGTTGTGTCAATGAACCACCAATCATAGAGGGATTACAATGAAGTAGAACCCTTAAGAACCATACACTGAATACTTCATTTGCAAATTTCCATCATTTGTCCTTCACATTCAGTATTATTCTTTCTATTCACAATTCCTTTGTATTTCCACTTCTGTTTTCTTCAACTCGATCTTCCTAGCGTTCTGCTACCAGGCATTCCACTTTCGATTATTGATAAATACTATTTATACTTGTCGACATCAGTACCACTTAATACATAGTGACTTCTTGAGATTTATTCAACATAAAAAATATTGATTAGTGTACAAATTTCTGGACAATTGTATTGTGTCCATAGTTGTGTAAAGTTTATGTATTTTTACAAATAAGTAATCAGTAAATCATGAAAAGAAAAGGGAGGGAGAAAGACAATGTAAAAAAAACACATAACAAGAGAAAAATAAATAACGAGAAAAATTATCAATCTTATGTTACTTTGAAGTTTTACAATAAATGGCCACCAAATGCCCTGGTACGGCCGAGAGTGGGGAGAGTCCGCTCTTCTTCTCGAAACGCTCTCACATGGTCACGCGTATATAGCCTCTACCAGGGGAGTCCTACTTACTGCCTTCTCCTGGCGGGGGTGTTGCTTACAAAATTGAGAGGACGAAAGGCGAAAATCCGGCGCTTTAACCGGGTTGGTGGACATGGAGAGTTCATTTAGGGGTGTTGTAAAACCCTGATCGCAAACCAATGGTGCACATGGGCTCCAGTATCCTGAGGGAACAAATGTTGTATGAACCAATTGTTAGTCACCGGCTACCATGGGACTGCATCTCCTTACGTTGTTCAACTGCCTTGTGGGTTAGATCTTTAGGTCAAAGGCTCCGGATGTGCCCCCCTAAGAAAACCACCTACTGCAGTTTGGGCACCCAGGCAGTATCACAGCCCTCACACAAATCTCATTTGATTTGTGTGGCGCATATGTATCTGATGTCCTCTTGTACCAATATCTATGTGTTCAAATAAATAAATATTACAATAAATGAGTTCATTTTCTTGTTTTCCTTACTTTTTATTGACGTCGTTATTTGATAAAGCCATGTGAAAAACATTATTCTTTGTCTGATAACAATTACGTGATGGATGATTTAAGAACTTTACTAATTAATCACCAGGGCATTCATACATAGCCTAGGTGGATTGTCTTGATTGTATATTCTATTTACAAGTTAGCACGAAATACACCCGAAACTAAAAGTTACAAGATGTTCGACAGATTATAATAAGTGTTGGTAGGAAGCCAAAGAAAATAGACATCATCAATAATAACTCTGTGCAATTAGAGTATAAAGAACTAAGTAGCTATAACCATATCTCATTCAATCCTAAGATGTATTACTATCGTATTTAATTCATAGTTCTTCTCTTTGGCTATTCATTACCATTTACATTCAAACTCCCGAAAATCTTGCAACCCTTTAATGCCGTCAATTTATTGATAAAAAGCTACATTTATGTAAGGGTTGTTACTTTGTTTTAAATTGTATTTATCATAGCAACATTTGCAGTGTATTTCATGATCCATTTAAAACGAATTTTTAATGTTTATAGAAAGTTTCTCTTTTTTGTTTTGAACACTGGGCCGGCATCCATTGATGTTAATGTTCAACCCCAACCAATCCACGAAATTGTGTGACCATCTTCCATTGTAACGAAGTAGATACTTGTCTCTACCCGATACACATTAGCTCCACTGGCCACGGCTTCTCACTAGAACTCCGAGAATTCTCTCACGAGCAGAATCATGGATGCGCACTGCTGAGGAGTCCCACAATAGGACGAAATACTCATCTTAAGCCTCCAGGTTTTCAGTGGTAGTCTAAAATCAATCGGTTTATGATCTCAATCTCATATAGGCTATAGAAGATAACTTCAATTTTATTTGTTGTGAATTCATTTACAGTATGAAAGTAAAACAAGTCACTGTTGATAATAGCGTATCAATGAACTGAATTCTTTATCTATTTTTTCTTACTACTTATATACGGTTAATCAACCTTAATGAATGATAAAAATATCTAGCTAAACGTCTTGTTAGTCGAATAGAATACCATAGATTTATTGTCTATAAGTAATATACATTTTAATAATCAAGGAAGCTTAAATATCATTCGAGACCATAGATACAACACTATATTTAACCAATGTTCACATTGTTGTTATTGAATCAATATACACAATGCAAATTATGAGGTATTTACATGGACCTTATGGTATGTAACAAAAATGAAACACAACTCATATCCAAATAATTTGTATAGTTGTTGTGCATGTATCCTAATGAATACATTTAACCTAACTAATTTATTACTGCTAGTTTCAATCAGCTACAAGGCTGATGGGAAAATAAGTGGGCGGTTAATTAATAACAAAAGTAAACCTTTATATACCATATATAACCTGCCTTTCGTCCTGCTTTTCCTTGAATTCATATATTAGCACCTATTATTTTGTTTAAATATATGGACGTTACCTAAAAATATATGAACTAGCTATATTTCCCTACTAAACATTATTGATTTATTATAAGGTGCATCTTATTTTTGATTGGTTGATTCAAATCAATAATGGTCTGTGCTGAATTCTAACCAATAGGATTTATGCTATAATTCCCATCTATATATATAATAATAATAATACAATTGCCTGAATTATACTCTGACATATTATTGTCGTTTCATCATATTTATTCGTACTTTGTTAACAATAATAAACTACCGCTTTTTATTTTCGTCATATCTATATTATTCAAGAGGAAATTTATACATAATTCATTGAATATATACAAGTAAGTTTAATTGAATTCATTGAAATTAATCTAGGAATAGAATACTACTTATAAAGTATAAAGTAATATTTGTTTTAATAGATGAGATCATGAGTCAATTGAAGCTAAACCAGCATAGAAAACCTGTAAGCACTAAACGACCGTTTCGTTCTATTGTGGGACTCCTCAACAGTGCTCATCCACGATTCATGATCTCATCTATTAAAATTTACTATCATATCCATAACACCTCTTCTGATAATATTCGTTTATTTCACTATTTTTTATTCTATTTAATAGATAATATACAGTGATTAAATAATGGATCCATCAGATCCAGATTTCAAATATTTGGGTGTAGATCGAAAAGCTTTATTAAAAGAATTGGCTAATTTTGATAGCAAAAATGTGATATGGGTTGAAGATGAAAAAGAAGGTTATATATTAGCTGATATTAAAGATACAACTGGTGATACAATTACAGTAGCACTTAAAGATGGAAGCGTAAGTATAGAAATTTTTTTAATTTATTTTGTTCATACTAAGTATTGTAATTAACTACTTATTATATACACTTCATTATAAATAAACTATACTTCTAGTAATAAGCTGGTGTTAATCGAATGTATGAGTATATGATGAGGTTAATGAGGTTAGTCAAACGAGTGAACTATCTCAGTTGTACGAATACATATCAATAGTTTAGTTGATCATGTACTAGTATAGCCATCATGTAATATTATGATCAGTTGCATTGTTTATGATTTTTTTTCATCTATAGTTACTACTTATAATTATATAGTAGTAAATATTATTAACTAGAATTTAAGCGGATTTTTGTTAGTTTGACATACTTTACATGAAAGTTGTCTGTAGTTGGTCATTATCGATTAGTTAATCACATACTTTAGTGAAACATCAGTTAGTGGTATATTGATAATTGAATTATCATTAGCCGATAATTATTTATTGCTATTATTATTAGTGACTTTATTCAGTGTTATATTTTTGGTACAATATAGAGTTCTCAGCACAAAGTATTTCAACAAGTTTCCATTTCTTACTTCTTGATCGATTCTGACGATAAATATTGAGTGGTCGCCAGTTCGATGTTACCAGTTCAGGAATCGAAATCTGAATAATGCATATTTTTTTCGATGCATATTGTCAGCAACCACGATATCTCTGTTTTCGCTTTTTTTTCACAACTTGTACAGTGGAAGGTTGTAAACTTTTCATAAACACACCTTAATAGATTATGAGACTGATAGGCATAATGATCTATTAAAACAAACAAGAAAACAACTAACCTATTGAAATATCCAGATGATAAGAACAGGTAACCCAGATATTAAAGCAGACTGTCTTCTTGCTGTTACTATGGTTATTAAATTATTTCATCTTTTATTCATCTTTTATTTGAACAGGAAAAGAAAGTTAAAAAAGATGATGCACAACAAGTTAATCCACCGAAATTCTTTTTAATTGAAGATATGGCTAATTTGACACATTTAAATGATGCTTCTGTTTTGGAGAATTTACGTGCACGTTATTATAGACAATTGATCTATGTAAGTTTCATCTGATTGTTATTGGTTAATAATTTTTGTACTTTATAATTAGGTCATAGAAAATTCATAAAATGTAAACTGATTTCAAGCTTAACAATTAGTGTAATATATAAGCTTTAGTAACGTATTAGCTTATTGACTACTGGTATATATGTATATGATACTGTTTCCATTATTATCGAAAGAAGTCATATATATGTATATATATTTGATATTCGTGAAGAGTTTCGTCGTTGTTACCAGGGGAGTAAATTCCTATAAACGACTAGATTTTACGGAGTATATATTTCTTACATAATTTGTAAGGTGATTTTCACGAAAAAAGTGTTTTCATTTGATTTTGTCATAACTTGTTACCGCCGATTAGAGGGTAGTGACTTATCAATCGGATCAATGGTGCGTAAATCTGTATGAGCAGCCTAGAGTCTTGATTCGTCCTGCTTTACGCCTAGCCTAGCCAGTTAAGTCCAGAACATCCATCCGAGCTTCTGTGATATGAATCATAATATTTCAAACACACTGATTTTATATACCAATCAAATAGAACACAACGTACCAATAAAATAGGAAATAAGATTTGTACAAGAATTAGCCAGATGTGACTGTGAATGAGAGAGGTAGTAATCAATATACTGGGTATAATTCAAGAATGGTAAAACGTATAATAGTAGTTTATGAGTCAAAATAAAGCTTATAATAAGAACAGTATGAATATGCATAGTTTACTTAATAACTACACAATAGAAATATACGTTTAGTATTGGTCCATAAATGGATCCCAAAAGTTACCATTCATTATTCTTGATGGGACATAACAGATTTCAACTACATCTTCACAAATAATATGCTTTCAAATATATGTAATTTAGTAATCTGTATCCCAAATGCCCTGGTACTGCCGAGAGTGGGGAGAGTCCACTCTTCCTATAAAAATGCTCTCACGTGGCGACACGTATACAACCACTGCCAGGGAAGTCCTACTCACTGCCCCCTTGTGTCAGGGGTATTGTTTACACACATCAAGTGACTTGTATGTTGCATATGTATTCGGTGTCCCTTTGTACCATTATTTATGTGTTCAAATAAATAAGTAAATAAATCTGCTATTTATATTGCTTCTTGTTATAATCTGTGTCCTATTAATGTATAACGTGATAACACTGTCAATTAGAGAACGGTAATTTACCGACCAGTCTAATGAGACATAAAACCCATACGAGCAGTCTAGAGTTCTTATCGATCCCGCTTCCTGCCTAGCCCAGCCAGTTAACTCCAGAACACCAATCTCAGTCTCTGTATTATCAATCATTTATTTCAAACATACTGGGTTTATATACCAACCAGACAGACCGCATCGTACCATAAAATAAAAAATAACATTTGTACAAGAATTAGCCAAATGTGACTGTGAATGTGGGAGATAGTGATTGATAGACAAGAATGGTAAATCGTACAATCATAGTTCATAGGTCAAAATAAAGCTCATCATAAGAGGGACACAAATATGATCAGTTTAATTACTTAACTATTATTGTAGTGAACATGAACACCAGTGGGAAACAATCGAATGTATTTAACACAAAATTACAGGACTTGTTAATAAAATCTAATAATCATAAAGTAAATGCTTAATTTGCAAAATGTCCACCCATTGTCTCAGACTTCATTGTTCTTGCATTTTCATACAAATTGCATCCTGTTCCATTCTTTACTGTTCTATCCACTTATCTGTCTGCTGCCAGACCTTTTGTTCAAGACTAACATCATATACTACTTATGTCAATATAAGTAGCACACACTACATTATACGATAAGAATATGTACGTATAGTATTAGTTCAGAAATAGTTTTCGACAGTTACCATTCATTATTCTCATCAGGATATAACAGTTTTAAGTGATTAAAAATCATTACAATAAAGTTATTGTCATCTTTCTTTTTTCTTACATTTTACTAGTCAAAAACTATTTACTTAACTTTAACTATTTCATTTTTTGTTTTAGACTTATTCAGGATTATTTTGTGTAGCAGTTAATCCTTATAAACGTTTTCCAATTTATACGGAACAAGTTGCATTAAAATATAAAGGAAAAAGACGTGGTGAAATGCCACCACATATTTTTTCAATTTCTGATAATGCTTATCATAATATGTTACAAGGTTAGTTACTATTCATTTATTCTTTCTGTAGTTTATTCATCATTATAAATGTTAACCTTATTTAAATAAAAGTGTTTTCATGTAATTTACCTCATTTTGACAACTTATTCAAGTCTCAGAGTGAATATCAACTCTGAGATGCAGGTGCATTCAGCTGATGAGTCCCGAAATAGGACGAAACGCGCGTCAAACTGGATTTCACTGCTAGCCACTATCCATCATTGCTTATTCAATGTTTGTTTGTTTGTTTTTGTTTTCTTTTGAAAGGAAAACATTCATTGTATTTCTTCTTGATTTATTTTAATTCATTTTTAACAGATCGTGAAAATCAATCCATTCTGATTACGTAAGTTTCTTGTTTTTAATATATTTGAACCTTACACAAAATTTATTTGTTATAACATATATATGTATGTCAACAGTTGAGATCATGAGTCAATTGAAGCTAGATCACAATGGAAAACCTGGAAGCACTGGATGGCTGTTAGGTCCTATTGTGGAACTTCTCAGTTGTGCGCATCCACGACCCTGCCTCGCGGGATTTGAATCCAGGACCTATCAGTCTCGCGCCAGGCGCTTAACTAACAAGCTTCAATTGACTCATGATCTCAACTGTTGAAATTATTACAATCTCCACAAAACGCATTCTGATATATGTATTTAAAATGAAATTTTGTTCTATTTCTTGATAACTTTACTGGATTAGTTGTGGAACTATAATGTTAGATAGTTAAAAGGAATTATAATAGAATGTATGATTTTTCATCGAGTGATAATCAGTGATAATATGTACATTTAATTCTGTAAGAAATAGGAGGCTTACACCCAATTCTACCGTTAGAAATATCTATCGATAGAATGTCCATCTTTAAAGGAGACTAGACAGATATGACACTAATTACTAATCATTAATGGATCATTTATAAGTATCTTAATCGTAATGGTGGTTAGTTATGACCTGAATGACAGTAAATAAAGCGTAGTCAAATTTGTGAACAAAACCATTTATAAATATTGTTAGTTAAGCGAAGATAGATATAGATAAAGTATTGATAAACTATATGTGCTTGAAGATAACGATAATTGTATTTGAGGATTTCGCATTTCCAAAAGACAAAACTTAGGTGATGTGAACCCACAACCCAACATATGATAGAACATAGGACTTTCAAACATTGACGCTTGAACCACTTTCTACTCAAATCAGTATATTGCATAACACGATCCTCTATAACTTGGTGACTTCAAACTTGGGATGATTATTAAAAGTCAATCTAATCAATATAGCATATATAGTTGTGCAAGTGTACTGCAGCGTGAACAATAATGGTTGATATCCAACTAAAAGAAAATGATCAAGTCAATCTCTAAATTGAGAATCTAAACTATTTCAAGTCATAATTTCATAATTTTTTCAAAATAATAGAGCGAATTCATTTTGGCCAACAGTAATCTGATTATAAGTAATGATGGGTGGTGACTAGCAGTGGAGTCCAGGACGCGCGTTTCGCCCTAGTTGGGACTCGTCAGCTGGATATACCTGCAGGTACACTGCTAGCCACTATCCATCTTTGCCTAAAAAGCTTATGACTTAAGACTATATCGAGGCAATCCGCACTGGATGCACATATGCCAACATGATCAATCGCAGTCCTAAATAACAATGGGAAGATACGAGTAAAACAACAACAAGTGAACAGAAATCTGATTATTTTTACGCATTTACACGTACACGCACATATACATCTAACATATAAATTTGGGAAAATTGCCTATTACACTACAAAATAGTTATCATCAAATGGTTAAAATCAATTTCATACTTTCCACATACAAGATATATTTATCTTTTTCTTATTAAAACAGAGGTGAAAGTGGTGCCGGAAAAACAGAAAATACAAAGAAAGTTATTTCATATTTTGCTGTTGTTGCAGCAGCTTCAAAGAAAGAGGATGATGATGCTAGTAAAAAGGTTTGTATTTGATGATGAAAAACAATAAACAAACATTATTTCATCATCTTATTATATGAAAATACTTAATATTTCTTAAATACATAGAACTATATTTCTATTATTGCTATACTCTCTGAGATAGATGAGTTAATTTATGACAGATTGGTCATTATCATTCTGAACAATATCATCAGTATATATTGAGGTGTGAAGTGGAAACATTAAACATCTTTGTGATCCTTACAGCATTATGGGCAAGACTATAACTTATGAACAAACCAATCAGATTTATGATAACAGATCTTGGATTTCGGCGAGAAATTCACTCATCTATTTTAGCTAAATAGAGTTTTGGCATTTTAGTTGATGCCAATTTGTGATGAAGCCATTAAATCTAATCCCTATCCCTAACCATCAAATGTAAATCAAAATCCTTATCGTTTACACAGGTTTAAAACCCTCATTTAGCCCTAATCAGTAGGTGGACATTCTCAAAGCCATTTTAGCGTCGCTCAATTGCCGTTTTAGATTTAGATCACTCCAAGAAGCTTGAATCAAGACCAACTAGAAATGTTGACAATATAATCGAATATTCAAATCAAGTTTATATGTTTATATAGTTACAATCTACCTTGAAGTTAATGAATCTGATTAGTGAGATTAGGATTTTTCCAAACAAATTTACTAACCAGATAGGCGTATTATGAGCGTTATATAAATTTTTTTTATTTACTGTAAGGTCAACTTACATTGTTACTAGTTATTTATTAATCATCAGGAAGGGGCTTTTGTGTATATTGTAGTAATTTAATGCTTGAATTCATGAGTCAATTAAAGTTAGACCATCATAGAAAACCTGGAAGCACTAGACAACCGTTTCGTTTTAGTATGAGACTCCTTAGCAATGCTCATTCGCGATTCCACACGTGGAACTCGAACCCAGGACCTTCGGTCTCGCACACTAACGCTTAACCTCTTGACTACTGAATTGAATCCATACATTAAATAATTCGTTTATTCATAATATTTAATTAGATGAACAAAAAGAATTTTAAACTCAATAAACTAACGATTAGCTGAGCGAAAATAGCATAATAGATGTTCACAGTAATAATGGTAATAGTTATAATAATAATAATAAATAACAATTTTGATCAAAATTATGGATTTACCAAGGAAATGATAAGTTAGTAACTGTCTCTTCCAAGTACTTGGAAAATTGCATAATTTATATTACTGACAAACCTTAGTTAAATAATCACTGATAATATTACGGAAGTACTGAATAGATATTTCTTCCTTGAAGTTGAAAATGTAAAGCACTAGTTAATAACTTAATGGCTTAATGGTTAAGTGTTAGCTATGAGATCTGAATATCTTGGGTTCGGCTCGCTATAATGAAGTCGTGGATGAACAGTAGTAAGAAGTTCCCCAACTAAGACAAAATAGCTATCCAGTAGTTTCTAGTTTTAAATCGTTTTATTTTAGCACATAGACATTGGTACAAGGAGGCACCAAATACATATGCGCCACACAAAACTCATTTGATTTATGTGAAGGCTGTGATACTGCCCGGGTGCCCAAACCGAAGCAGGTGGTTTTCTTAGGGGGCCACACCCCGAGTCTTTGACCTGAAGGTCTGATCCACAAGGCAGTGGAGCATCGTGAGGAGATGCAGTCCCATGGAAGCCGGTGACCAAAAATTGGTTCATACGCCATTCGTTCCCTCAGGATACTGCAGCCCATGTGCACCATTTGGAATCCGGTTAAAGCGCCGGACATTCGCTTTTCGTCCTCTCATTTTCGTAAACAACACCCCCGCCACGAGAAGGCAGTGAGTAGGACTTCCCTGGCAGAGGCTGTATACGCGTGGCCATATGAGAGCATTTCGAGAGGGAGAGCGGACTCTCCCCACTCTCGGCCGTACCAGGGCATTTGGGGGCGTTTTAAATCGTTACCTAACTAAGATCAGTTCTTGATGAAATTTAAGTCATCAATAACTCCTTACATTAATTCAAGAAATCATTTGAAAGTCAAGTAAGGTGATGCATAGCTTATTTCACTGTGAATATCTATTTATTATTTAACAATATTTTATTCTTTATTCAAATCAAATTGAAATCTTCTTTACTTTCTTTTTTAATTAGGGAACACTTGAAGATCAAATTGTTCAAGCTAATCCAGTTCTAGAAGCATATGGTAATGCAAAGACTACAAGAAATAATAATTCATCTAGATTTGTAAGTTATTATACATTTTCTAGATAAGAATAAATATTATTTTTCTTTCTTTTCAAATTAGGGAAAATTCATTCGTATTCACTTTGGTACAACTGGTAAAATCGCTGGAGCTGATATTGAACATTGTAAGTTGTGAATTTAACAACAAAAACAAAAAATATGATTTCAATAAGTGAGATCATGAGTCAATGAAAGCTAGACCACTATGAAGAACTTGGAAGTACTGGACAGCCATTTCGTTCTATTGTGAGACTCCATAGCAGTGCACATCCACGAACCCACCTCGCGAGATTCGAACCCAGTCTCACGCACGAGAGCTTAACCACCAGACCATTCAACCGGTATCTAACGGTGTTAATGTTTAAATTAAACTAATCCACAAAATTGAGCAACACATCCACCATTGTCATCAGTGAGTTACTATCTGACAACTGACCCGGTTGAATTCCACTGGTCACTACTTCTCACTAGAACTCCAGGATATACATCTTGAAGCCAGTCACTAGTGAGCATATGTTGAGTAATATCAGAAGAAGCATCACAATAAGATGAAACGAGAATCCAGTTCTTCCAGGTTTTCTATGTTGGTCTAGCTTCAATTGACTCATGATTTCAACTATTGAGATTACTATAATATCCACAAAAACCCCTTGTGATATTAAAAAAAATAATTGTATAACTAATCAATTCTTTTTCTTTTTTTCTAAAAGATTTGCTTGAGAAATCTCGTGTAGTTTCACAAATGAAAGGAGAACGTAATTATCATATTTTCTATCAATTATTATCAACTTATGGTTCAAAATATCACGGTAAGTTCTTCTTTCTCCTTTGAAATATGTCTGTGAGGTTTATTATTTTTATCATTGAACATTTTAAGGAATAATAGTTAATTTATTGAATGATTTGTAACATGAACGTAGTTAGATAATCATCGGAAACTAGGAAGCATTGGATAGGTGTATTGTTCTCGTATGGAAGCTTTCATAGATGTCCATCCATGATTCCATCACATAGGATAGAGTTTAAGAACTTAAGGTATTACAGATAAGGTTTAACTTTAAGACCACTGAGTTGATATCTAATGGTTAATTATGATCATTTTTGTATTTGCTTTTTAGACAAATTATTAGTTCAAACTGATCCTGCTTTATACAGTTTCATTAATCAAGGAGAGTTAACTATTGATGGTGTAGATGATAGTGAAGAAATGAAATTGTGCGATGTAAGTTTAACTGAATAGTAATTGTTTGTCTATCAAGTTAATTACTTACTCTTAGGTCAGAGTTTAAATGGTTAAAATGATATTTTATGGTTAGCCCTTTCTTAACAGCACTATTTTCTACTGAATGGGGCTGTTAACCCTAATCCTAACCCTCCTTCTTTATCTGGGCTTGGGATCAGGAATAATCCTAGATGGTCTGCAGGTGGAGTTTATATCAAGATGATTGTTTAATAAACTAAAGATTTCAATGACATAGATTGATTTGAGCTGAAAACCATGGTGTAACAATAGATTGTTCTATAATTCGTTTCTAAATTTCGTATCAATAACTATGCTGTGCTTCTTCTTGTTTCGTTAACACAAATTTTCTGTATCAGAGGTAAATGGTACATTCAAACTATGCTATCCTATCTAATTACTCAGGTTTGTAATAGCAATTTGTAAGTTTTGATATGAAATCTAAGAAATATGTACAATTATCTATCATGAAGTGAGTAATCTCTAGAAACGAATACCTTGAAAGAACAAAAAAAGTCTCGTTCTATGACAGATTATGAGTTCCAATCTGTTCATTAGCTAATCAATGGTATAAAGCTTCCAAGTCATTCTAAGATGATCATGTTCGACATTCAAGTATAATTTAACGAAACGTTTTTTAGATTAATATTCAAAGAGAAAAAACAACCTTTGGGACTATTAGGAAAGAATAGATTGCGAATATTTCATGTATTCTAATGTGTTCAGTTTCCACAGGAGTATCCACATCCTACTAAGCTTTATAATGTTGTAAAAAAAATTCACTTGGGGAGATATATTCATACCTCCTAAATCAATAGACAAATGTACAGCTTGACTGATGATCAATGTAGAAGTCAACTATACAGTTAGTTAACAGTTCGATTGGTGATTTCATGAAATTAAATTAGGATAGTGAAATGGATTACATAGAAGGTTTCTACATTGTCATTTCAGTCAACTTCAATTAGGCTTCTGTAAGATGAATAAAGAATATTCTGTAAATATTGGCATAAATGAGTTGATAGCCCATCGTTAATTACTTTCCATGGTTGTCTAATTCAGCTTTATATACATATGTTTCCTATGAGCTTGCTCAACCTGTTATACAAATGAGAAGATTAAAAAGTGACTAGAAAGTTGCAATTGGGAAACCGAATTAATTTAATAGAGTAGTACAAGCACATGGTGTGCCCAAACTCGTCCAGCGTATCATTCTGACTAAAATTTATTTTTATTATTTGAAAAATACATATATTCCTTTTTTAATCAGAGAGGGGTTTTGTGGATATCATAGTAATTTAATTGTTGAATTCATGAATCGATGTAAGCTAGAACAGCATTGTAAACCTGGAAACACTGGACAGCCATTTCGTTCTAGTATGGGACTCCTCAGCAGTGCGAATCCACGATCCCGCCTCTCGAGATTCGAACCTAGGACTTATCAGTTTCACGCGCGAGCGCTCAATCACTAGACCACTGAGCCGGCATATAACGGTGTTATTGTCTAACTTTAACCAATCCATGAAATTGAACGACACATGCACCATTGTCATCAGTGAGTTGCTGTCTGACAACTGACCGGGTTGAATTCCACTGGTCACCACTTCTCACTTGAACTCCAGGAAATAACTTTTGTTTTATCACATCCTTCAGTTACTACTTACCATTGTCTTTTTTTTGTTCTTAGGAAGCTTTTGACGTTCTTGGATTTAATGATGATGAAAAATTATCATTATTCAAATGTACTACATCAATTTGTAATATGGGTGAAATGAAATTTAAGCAAAGACCAAGAGAAGAACAAGCTGAAGCTGATGGAACTGCTGAAGCAGAAAAAGTTGCATTTCTTTTAGGTGTTAATGCAAAAGATCTATTAACTTCATTTTTAAAACCAAAAGTTAAAGTTGGTACAGAATTTGTAACTAAAGGTCAAAATTTAAATCAAGTTAGTAAATTTTTATTGATGAACAGTAATCTATAATGAAATTATAATAACTAATTAACAATTCATTTGCTTGAATGGATCAGTCTCTTATTGGCATATGGGCATCCTGTCCGGATCGCTTTAATATAGCTCTAATTCACAAGCATTATCAGCAAAAATGGATGGTAGCTGGTAGTGAAATCGAGGACTCACGTTATGTCTTATATGAGACTCATCAGCTGGATGTACCTGCATCCCAGAGTTGATGTTCACAAATGAATATTTACATTTACATTTTTCTCATGAAAAGAAATTCATACTTCCAAATAATTGACGGTTTGAATTGTTTTTTCTGGTTAGCACTTTTTAGCGAGTTAGTTTGGTCGCTAACACCATACACAATCCTTCTCCTTTATCTTTGCTTGGGACCGGCTGTAGCACCACAGGGGCTCTAGGCGAAGTTAATTACTTAGCTGTGGCTATATGTTATTGAGTAACGCTTAATGTGTCTTTCATCGTATATCGATATTAATTTTCAACCTCTAAATAGTGCCTAAATTGTACTCTGATTTGTATTGATAATAAGTATCTCATATTGTGTGGAATTATCCAGTTAGTTGACAGTTTATTCCTTCAGTAAACTCCTAAAATTATTTAATGTTTGTATGGCTGCGGTTTTCTAAAACATTTTCAATGTTCAATAATTGTGGTGTTCCTAATGCTTTCATTCATTCTCCCGTTTATTTAGTGGATGAATGGCACATATTAGAGTGAGATTTTAACACCGGTTTGATTCCAAGAGGGTGGAGGTATTCGTAAAGTTCTTCTTGAACGTGTATAGCATTCTGTATGTAAGCTTTGAAACTATTAATAAAAACTATACTAATATACAGTTAAACACCCTAAATGAGCAGTAAAATGAACGAAATTACTACTTACCAAACGTTAAGCAAACATTGAAAACGTTGTGGATAACGTCAGTCTCTTTTTCATGTCTATCTGATGATAGGTTTCGCCAAAAAGTGATACTATTGAAACTATTTCATGGATTTTGCTTTAAAACATGAATAGCAGCCCATATTGCTAATGAATCATTATCGTACTTGAGATTTCATTGACTTTATAGTTTACCACTTCTTCATTTAGAACCTAGCTACTAGTGGGGACACCAATAATGTTTAATTAAATGGTTTGAGGAAATTTACTCACTTTGACGTTAAGAGTGCATGGACCACTGAGGTAAAGATTTGCTGTAAATTAGCACTCCACAAAAGGAGGTTAAAAAGTAAAATCAGTTATATAATATTAGTTGATTAGAGATTGTTGACACGAAACCCTGTAACTAGTTAACGTTAAAACATAATAAATACAATGTCTAGTTTCTCAGACTTGAGATCAAACTACAACTTGATCAATCAAATTATATCGCCACTAAGAACTAAACAAACATGATATTGGGCATTACTTAGTGACTAGTTAGTTTAAATGCATAAAATGTTTATAAATGGTTCCACCTAATTAATTGGATAAACCTTAGTTCACAATCGACTATATAGTTGCTAAAACCAATTTTTATTAGAATAATGGGTTTGGGGAACTGTTTCATCCAACTATAAGACTCCTCATTGGACTACTCTTTTACAGTTTTATCCGTAATAATTATAACATTATCATATTCTCTTTTAATAATAATAATAATGATAATAACTTTTCAATTTATTTCAACAAAAGGTTACATATGCAGTCAGCGCTTTAGCTAAATCTCTGTATAATCGTATGTTTGGTTGGTTAGTAGCTCGTGTCAATAAAACTTTGGATACAAAAGTTAAACGTCAATTTTTCATTGGTGTACTGGATATTGCAGGTTTTGAGATTTTCACTGTAAGTTTTGTTATTATTATTATTACTGTTTGTTAGTAATATAACTTGTAGTCTGTGTGCCCTGCTAGTGTATAACGTGATGATACCGGTATTTAGAGAACGGTAATTTACCGACCAGTCCAATGAGACATAACACCCATACGAGCAGTCTAGAGTTCTTATCGATCCTGCTTCCTGTCTAGCCTAGCCAGTTTACTCCAGAACACCAATCTCAGCCTCTGTAATATCAATCATTTATTTCAAACATACTGGGTTTATATACCAACTAGACAGACCACATCGTACCATAAAATAAAAAAATAACATTTGTACAAGAATTAGCCAAATGTGACTGTGAATGTGTGAGATATTAATTGATAGACAGGGCATACATCAAGAATGGTAAATCGTATAATAATGGTTCATAGGTCAAAATAAAACTCGTAATTAGAGGGAAATGAATATGAATAGTTTAGTTACATAACAATTACACGATAAAAATATACTCATAGCAATGGTCCATAAATGGATCCCCAAAGTTACCATTCATTATGCCTATCGGGACATAACAGTAAGGAAGTTGACTCAATTGATTTACAGGTTCATTGAATTTTCGGGATTAATAACGATGACAATGTTTATTTGTTGATGAGTATTATAGAATTAACTCGAGCCTTGTCATTTTCCAAACAGTTCAACAACTGAGAATATTTATAGCCTTGGGATGTTGATGGAAATTTTTTATTCACTCACCTTAACGGGTTCGTTTGTGTCCAATTATCTAGAATACAAAACCTTCAAAACGTCGAACAATTATTGGTTACACAAATTACAGTGACATACTTACTAATGGAATCTATGAGGTGTTTATGATCGTAATAACAAGCTTCCTTCAACTCCATATTTCTTATTTGGTGTGGACTTATAACATTTTTAATCTTTTGTATTCCAGATGATAACCAACTTTATGAATCCAAGAACTTTGTTCTAATCATATATATTACCCAAACTCCTGATTATTTATCTCTTACTTGATTGATATTATTTCAGGTTTAACACTAAATGTACTCTGAGTAAAAACCAATGTCACATTTATCTAGTCATTTAGTTGTAGTGCTAAAGGAATAGGTAAACATGATATTGGTCACTATTCAGTGATCACTCAGTTGTGAGTTTCCTAGCCATGTAGGAGAGCAGTTTTATCTGGAATAGAACAGTCATGAAGTTTGGGATTATGAAACTAAGTGAAACCCACAGAAGGCAATAACTCTTCAACATTGTCAATATATCTTGTTGAAGAGTCCCAACTAGTACGAAATGCAGATCCAGGATATCCATACTAACTACCTCTAACTACTAATTATGGTTGATATTATATTCATTGTTAGTTCATTTTTGTGACTTCATGATTTGATAAATTCTTTTCATCTTCGTATTAACCTTTTTTCATTATCCAAGGAAAATGGTTTTGAACAAATCTGTATTAATTACACGAATGAACGTCTACAACAATTCTTCAACCATCATATGTTTGTCTTAGAACAAGAAGAATATAAACGTGAAAAGATTCAATGGACATTTATTGATTTCGGTATGGATTTGCAAGCTTGTATAGATTTAATTGAAAAGGTAAATTATCCATTTTTTCAAACTACGAGTATTCTGATGCTGGAAGTTATACACACGCAGAAATCGTAAAATAAAACTAGAAGGGTTTGTTCGAAGTGCAGTACCGTCATAGAAAACAAAAATAAATACTAATACTTCAGGTAAAATACAACTCATGAGATTTCAGGGCATAAACTACAACTTTTAAAGCGTAGATGAGAGAAATGTATTCTTCAAACAATTGGAAAGAGTACAATGCTATCATTTTTAAAAAAACCAGAAACCAGTACTTGTCTACGTTGAACTGAAACGTTGTCAATTAATGGCAATAGACTAATTGTTCCATGTAAGCAAGGCTTAAAAGTTTAGTTTATACGGGTAAAACTGGACGAGGAAAGAAGGGAAAAAAGATTTCATAACATTATGAATGAAGCCAAACATGTAAATAGGAGGATAAAGTTTATATCGTGTTCGCGTAATTCATCAAGAGGTAATAATGCGCAACAGTATGCAAAAGTTAGAAACACTCAAGTACAACCAGACTACTTATTGTCATTAAGTAGTTTATCGCTAAACATTAAAAAGAAGTAGCTGTGAAATGATCAACTAATTCGAAACAAACATGTTCACCAAATATCTGAGACTGATTAAATTCTGTCTGTATAATTCTTAGTGCAGCCTCTATAATAAATGATCAAGAACTGTAGATTTTTTAACCAGTCCAAATAGAATGCTGAAGATCCCAATCTGAAGGGAAGCATAATTTCTTCAACAATAATTGATGAGTTTCAGGACTTGCCATTTGATAGCCTTTGAACAGCTTACAAATAAATGGACAGATAATAGCTCAGATTTTTTCTGTGTTTATATTTTTGTTCTAATAACTTGTTGATTATATTTCTGGATACATTTCAGAAACGATTTGCTCCAAGTAATAGGATAAATCGTTAGTCAGTAGTCATATCACTTCTATGAATTTTGGTATAATAAATAGCTACTGAATCTGTGTAGACTATCCGTTTTACGAGTCAGTTTTTTAACTTTAAGAAAAAGGATGAATTGACAGATTTGACAATTTTTACTTTATCCATTCATCACAGACTGATCATATATTGATAAATATTGGAAACTAGTGTTGGCTGAACAGCTGTTCTGTTGAATTAATGTCTCCCGATTCTTGCTTATAGCGTTTATTTCCTAGGCTACTGACCTAAGATCCAATCGTTTAAAAGTCTAGCTTCAACCAACTCAAGTGGTTGCGCAACTGCCTTTTAATGCTATTGATAACTAATTACCTCAAATCTGATGTGGTTGAACTCCACTGTTTGTAACGTCTTATCAGAACCCAGTTAATTAGCTCTTAAAATTAATCACTAGTTAACATATGGGCAAATTACTAACATAAAAAATTTAATGGAAATACATTATATTTCAGTTTAACAATGTTTGCAAACATTACTTGTTTGTTTCTCTTCATTTTTTCTAGCCTATGGGTATCTTGTCCATTCTAGAAGAAGAATGCATCGTTCCCAAAGCTTCGGATCAAACATTCTTGTCGAAATTATATGATAATCATTTAGGTAAAAGCCCTAATTTCACAAAACCGAAGCCGCCGAAGCCAGGACATGTAGAAGCTCATTTCGAATTGCACCATTATGCTGGATCTGTAAGTATATATATATCCATGTAGTTTTGTCTTGTTAAAATAAAAACTGTATTTCTATATTCATTCAATTAATTGTGTCCCATGAAATTTGCAACATTATTTCATGTGAACAATACAGTTTTCAGTATATGGCTGTGGAGATTGTTGGGTTTCACGAATATCATGAAACGTTCACGCGTTAAACCGAAGTTCCTGTATTCGATTATCATATGCGTGGCTTGTGAATGAGCACTGTCAACGAGGCTCATGTCAGCGTAAAACAGCCGTTTGTTTACAGTTTTACTTTGCAGTGATTTTGTAGAAGATAAGAAGACTTTTATAAACCCTGCTTTTTATTTACTACCTTTATGTAACTACTCAATTTCAAAAAGCAATGTATTCACTCTTGTTTTTCTTATAATCTATCATTTTCCTAGGTTCCATACACAATAACTGGATGGTTAGAAAAGAATAAGGATCCACTTAATGACAGTGTAGTTGCATTATTAGGTGGTAGTAAAGATCCTTTAGTATCCAATCTATTTACTCCAGTTGTCGGTAAGTATCTATTTACTATTATAAATTAAATGACATTAAAACGATTAAAGAGTTTAATAGCAAAAGCCTAATAGTTTACATAACAAAAACTGATCTTATTTAGACAATTATTTAAAAAAAATAGCCTGGCGACACAAATTAACTATTTCAATGTTGAAACTCATTAATGATACCACTAAAGATTGAAATCAAGATCTCTGGAGTTTCATAATTTCTAATTTTCCACGATTATTTATTCTTATTTGTTTATTTCAACACATAGATATTGGTACAAAAGGGCATCAGATACATATGCGCCAAACAAAACGCATTTGATTTATGTGAAGGCTGTGATACTGACTGGGTGCCCAGACCGAACCAGGTGGTTATCTTAGGGTGCCACACCCGGAGCCTTTGACCTAAAGACCTGATCAACAAGGCAGTAGAGCATCATAATGAGATGCAGTCCCATGGTAGCCGGTGACCAACCATTAGTTCATACAACATTTGTTCCTTCAGGATACTGGAGCCCATATGCACCATTATGCAGTTCAAACTCTTGTAGCAATTACAATTGAATCATTACTATTTTCTTTAGTTTTTATTATAAGATGAAGTTATCTGTAATCTAGTTATGTAACTAGTATTACATTTTCGATTTGTTTATTTATATTTTTAAACTTGTTAACAAATACCTTATTAGAATAACAATAGTTGATAGTAATAGCTACTGAAATTAGTATCTTGTAAGTAATATTTTAAAAAGAGAGATAAATGGCTAATTATTGAAGAAAACCTTTTATCGGAAATCAGGCCTTAACTACTAAATATGATCCATGATATTCAGATAGATATCTTCTTCCAATAGTACCAAGAGATTGATTGATTTAAATTTTTAAAATGTTCAATATTACATTATGGTTCTCAATTATAATGAACACTATTTTTCGAAAAAAAATCAATAATTGTTTGACATATCGAACTGGGAAGATTCAATGGAAAAATTTGAATTTGAAAAGTACTCTATAGTTACTAAGGAGTTTTCTAATGAGTCTTATTTCGTTTGGGATGAAATTTGTTTTTGTTTTTAACCATAGTTCATTTATTGATTGTATACCATCAAAGTAACAAGAATAAATTTCTCATTTCGTAATTACTCACCTAAAAAGTTTTAGTGATATTTAAAATAAGAATTAATTATTACCGTGTATAGTTCGAATGTATATAATCAGGTAGGGGATGATATTGGAGTAATATGATTTGATAGTCACTAGCATTTTGGACAGATATCATCACTTGATTTACACATTAATGACATTTTCCAACTTGATTCTTTCTTTACTATCCAGCATGTATGGTCAGAATTGATAATGGCTAGATATTAGTAACATATGTCCTAAACACTTTTACTTATTATTATTTTTATTTAAACACATAGATATTGGTACAAGGGGGCACCAGATACATATGCGCCACATAAATCATTCGATTTGTGTTAGGGCTGTGATACTCCCCGGGTGCCCAAACCGAACCAGGTGGTTATCTTAGGGTTCCACCCCCCGAGCCTTCAACCTGAAGGTCTGATCCACAAGGCAGTGGAGTATCGTGAGCAGATGCATTCCCATGGTAGCTAGTGAACAACAATTGATTCATACGCCATTTGTTCCCTCAGGATACTGGAGCCCATATGCACCACGGGTTTGGAATCCGATTAAAGCTCCGGACATTCGCTTTTCGTCCTCCCAATTTCGTAAACCACACTCCCGCCACGAGAAGTCACACTTTGGTAGATGAAGGTTCATACAGCACTTGAATAACTGATATTCACAGAAATTTTCTTCATTTACTAAGGTATGAAATCGATTACAAAGTTGAAAAATAGAATAAAGCTATTACGTAATTATTTATGTTCATTAGAGATTAAGTTATGGTACCGTGAATATTATTGAAGCTGTATTTAAATATCAAATTGTGAACAACTAATTAGATGTCTAACATACAGTGTTTTCATCAAAAAATAATCAAAAATAAAATAGTATGGGACTGTCAGTAAAATCTAGGCAGTATATTTCGTCCTATTTAAACCTCATCAGTTGGAACTATCTACATTTTCGTGCTGATGTTCTCCTATTTTATTTATTTGAGCATCTATAAATATCGATACAAAAGGGGGCACCAATTACATATGTATCACACAAATCACATGATTTGTATTATGGGCTATGATAATGTTCACATTAGGATTCAAACTTAGAATGTTAGTATCCATTGAGCAACTGATTTTAATTCATTTTATTTAATCTTTTTAAAATGAGGAAAGTTCTTATTTTATATTTGTAAAAAATACATATGTATGTATGTATATAGGTGAACCTGGTAAAAAGACGAAAGGTGGCTCTTTCTTGACAGTGACCTACATGCACAGGGTAATTATTATTATTATTACAACAACAACAACAACAACCAAATATATAAGCTAATAATTTAAATCGTATGCTGATCTATCTCATCTTATTGGACTGCTGTTATGTTGCTATGACATTTTGTTGACTAATTTATTATCTGCTTGCTGATGCTTTAAAAAACAAAAAAACAAACAACAAAAACACAAATCAATATAATATCGATTAGTGATATCATTAAAAATCTAGGTGATTTATCTTTGCATATGTTGCTATAGTATGCATTTTCGAGAGAGAAAAAAGAAACTATAATACAATTTGCTTCATTTTTATTTCCATATATATATATATCATATACATATGTGTTATGTTGTTTGTAGTGAATAAAACTTTAATAAGATTTAATAGAATGAATACAAAGACTATGGTATATTCAATGAGACTATAATTTATGGACGATTCAATTAGATTTAGAGTAATAAATCTTTGATTCATTTATCCATTTGATTAAATAGTGTTTTAATCAAGATGGTGGTTTGTGGTAATCAATAGGAAACTGTGGATTCGGGTTTTGTGCTAATTGGCACTCGTCAATAAGATGTATCTGTAATATTGCAGGAACCGATGATCTCTGATGGATTTGACTCCATGTCATCCAGCTTTATAGTCAGAGACGTTACCACTGGGATATTTGGGTGGCGACTGACTCCCTTTAGGACTAATCTAGGTAACTCTACATTATGTCGATAGGATTTGATCTGCTTAATCACCACTTAGTGATTAATCAATTGTGTGTTTTAGTCAGTTTAGTTAATGTCAATATGTGATAAAAACTTTAAATCGAATGCCTAAGCCTAAACATGAATTGTAAATCGTTATTTTAATTCCTCACACTAGTTTATAACCTTTATTTAACCCTATGAAGTAAATAGATATTCTCTAGATGACTTTAGAATCACTCAAAGATCGTCCATAAATTATAATCTCACTGTCTATTCAAACGATGTAAATTCACTGCATTATTATTATTTACAATTTATTTTGGCTTTAAACGCTTAAGCATGCTAATTGTAAACACACAGTGAATCATAAATTAACTTAATGATAACACAGGGTCAATTTATGATTACATAATGTTATATCTTGAATCTTCTTTTCCTTCCTTATTTTGAAAAAAACCAGTCGATTGTTTTCATTCACTTACATCTTCGACCCCAATTTGCTTGTTTCCGTTCGGTATGAAGTATTGAAAATAAAAAGTATTTTCAACGAAATTACGTAAGAAATCAATATGAAAGGTATTTAATATTGTTTAGATAATTCCAACAGTCGAGATCATGGATCAATTTAATCTACACCACCATGGAAAACCTGGAAAAACTGGACGGTCGTTTCGTCCTATTGTGGGACTCCTCAGCAGTGCGCATCCACGATCCCGCTTCTCAACATTCGAACACAAGACCTACCAGTCTCGCGCCAGGCGCTTAACTACTAGACCACTGAGCCTTCATCTAACGGTGTTAATGTCTAACATCAACTAAGCGGGGTCGTGGATGCGCACTTCTGGGAAGTCTCACAATAGGACGAAACAGCAGTCCAGTGCTTCCAGGTTTTCCATGGTAGTACAGCTTCAATTGACTCATGATCTCAACTGTTGAAATTATTACAATCTCCACAAAACCTCTTCTGATTGTTTAGATAAACTACATTACTTTATCAAACTGGAACTGTGAAACTTAATTTGATCGTCGTTTTGAATATTATGACGATTATTATCATTATTACTTTTACCCATGTGTTATTGATTGTTTGCTTATTTTGTCTTGCATATAATTTGCTTAATTTATTCTATACTACATCTTCTAATAGACGAAGGTGGAAAACGTAAAAAAGGCGGTGCTATGCAGACAATTTCTGCTGTTCACAGAGTACTCATGTTTTTTCTTTTGTTTGTTTGTTTGTTGTTGTTGTTGCTGTTGATATTGTAGATTCTTTAGTGAAAATATTTAGCCTATAATTGTAGTTGACTTGATTGTACCTTTCAACAATTTAATGTAGACTAATCTTCTAATCGCTAATTTTTTTACAATCCATATATCTTAATCCCGCACGTAACACATATCAATTATATTGTATTACCTCATAGAAAATATGTAGAGAAATAATAGATGACAAATGCATTGCATTCATAATGTATTGGATACACAATACAATATTTGTATTTGTATGTGTTTGTATGCGTATATATATATATATATGTTAGCTTGTTATGGTAGTAGTGGTAGTAACAATACCTGTAGCACTAGTAGTTGTAGTGGTAGTGCATCTTTTGGCGAAAAATCAATATTTTCACTCGGTAGATAATTTGAGTACAGTAGAATTTGTGAATATATTAACAATTTACTCTATAGATTCATCTTAATACTGTGTCTTTTTTCAAATGAGTAGTATGAAGTAAACTAGAATTGGATTTTCTGACAGATTATTGTGAGGTATATTTTAATAGGTTGAGTATTAGGCAGTTATCTTCAAATAAAATCGAAAAAGAAACGGTTATACAAGTTAAACGTGTCAATCACTGGATGTCTTCTCCATAGCCTGAAGATCAAACGTTTTTCGTAAGATCTGAGAATTATGAGTTCAAACTCCGGATGAAGTTGCGGATACACAATACTAATAAGTTTCACACTAGAATGAAAAAGATATCTAGTGCTTTCTGGTTTTCAACGACTTTTTAGTTAAAATCAATTCGTTGTGAAAACTATGAAAAAATTCAAAAACTTTTGAAAATCCTCTATAGTATTTATGTTTATGTTGTTTTATAGTTCACTTTTTCAATAGACGATTCTCAATGTTCTAGTAAGAGGTAATGACGAATGTAGTTCAACCATATTGGATGTTAGGCAGGTAACTTTCAATGAAAATTAAAGATAATTGTTCAATATCGTAAAAATATAACAATGATTTAAGTTGAGATGGATACTTGCTAGAAATGAAATGTAGAATGCACTTTTCGTACTATTTAGGACTCGTCAGATGAATGTACTTACATCTCACATTTGTCATTTATTCTGGGAATCAAACACAGCAATATTCACTTCAGATACCGTCACATTATCTATCCAACTAGCTGCTGAGTACAGATAACCACTGACTTGTGTCACGGAGTGAAGTCTAATTCATTTATATTGGTTATTTTCTGTGTTTAAGACTGTAATTGATCAGTCTCTTTTCGACATATAGGCATCTTGTACGGATCACTTCGATGTTATCATTGTTAGTCAACATCCATCATTGCTTATAATGCTTATGACGTAAGGTAGCATCAAGGCAATCCGTTCAGGATGTACGTATACCAAAATCATCATTACATTGAACAGCTATATTGTTTTAATTACGAAAATTTTAAGCTACGTTGATTCATAACCTAATCAAGCCTGGAACCTTTCTATCGTCTTGCGACTATCACACTACACTTGAGCTACTGAACTTGGATTTCTTAGTCATTATATTTTTCTATCCTTGTTAATTATTTTTATTAACTAGCTACAATTTTTATATTTCTTTAACTATTTCAATTCAATTTTGTTAGACATATTTATACTACTTACAAACATATTTCAGTAGTATATAAATAATTAATAGTAATAATCGTCTAGCCTAACATTGATTGAACAAAAAAAATTTCATCAGCATGTATTTCTTTATCTTTCCTTAATGCATGTGTTTGTATTAGTTAATTGTACTCAGAAATAGTATAAAATAAGCATGATATCATTGGTATTTGGTTTGCAGTTTGTTATTTCTTTATAGTAATGCGTATATTCTTTTCTTTTTTGGTTTTCTTTCTTTTTTTGCCCTCTTTAAATTAATTATCTTGTGTTTATTTGTTCAGTAATTTATTTCGCTTCATTTTAACATTGTAATAATTATGTGTTAATTTAGGAATCACTGAATAAACTAATGAAAAATTTACAAAGTACCAGTCCTTCATTTATTCGTTGTATTGTACCGAATGAATTTAAACAACCAGGTGAGTTGTATAGCTTCTGTTTTAAATACAGTTATCATTTAGGTATTTAATGTTTTATTTTTAATTCTGAGAGTGTATTTCATTGTGAAATAACAATTTATAAATGTAGGTTGTAAAACGTTTTAATAGTTGAATTCATGAGTTAATTGAAGCTAGACCACTATGGAAAACCTAGAAGAACTGGTCGGTTGTTTCGTCCTAATATGGGACTTCTTAGCGGTGCGCCTTCATGATTTCTTCCCGTGGTGTTTGAACGCAGGACTTGCCGATCTCGCGCGCGAACGCTTAACCACTAAACCACTGAACCGGCATATAACGGTGTTAATATCTTACTTCAATCACTATTACCTGCAGTGAGTTACTATCTCATAACACACCTGGTTGAACTCCATTGATCACGAATTCTTATTAGAGCTCCAGGAAATACCTCTTGAAGCCGGTAACTAGTGAGCACCTGATGATTATTATTATCAGGAGTGGGTTTTGTGGAGATTTTAGTAATTTAATAGTGTGAGATTCGAACCCTTGTCATCTAGTCCTACAGTCTATAATGTTACTACTAAGCTAATCTGGCCACAACTGACCTATTGGAGTGAGATATTTACACTGATTGATCACTGATTAGTGACCAGTATGATATTTACCCAGTGTCCTAGTGTTGACCAGATTCTATCAACCAAGTCACAATATCTCAATGTGTAAAGCTTGATGGGGCAGCAGTCTTCTCGAGATTTCGGTTATACTATGATAACAAGTGCCGCCCACCACGAATCCTCGGTCCAATGTTTCCCGCTGAATACTTCAATTTTTTTAACGTTGGAGACAAAGTCTGTAAATTAATCCATTTCTAGTCATTTAAATAATTGTGTATACCACACCAAGTATGCAGTCTTATGTGTTCGACCACTCAATGGTATATTCTTATATATGATCTAGGTGACATATCACAATATACACGTAATGCCTGAAATACACTTATTAGTTGGATAATTTGGTAGTTTTAGTTACGCTCATTAAAAATCCTATTACAATTGTCTTGTAGTGTATGCTACGTAGGCTGACAGATATAAGTAGTATATAGCACTAATAGGAAGTGAAATGCTTTGCAGTAGAAGATTGAAATAAAGAGTACAGCAAAAAAGTCAGAGGGCAATCAAAATAAGAGCATAATTAGAGGAATAATAGAATATGTGAAGGACAACTCAAAGAAGTTGTTTAAACAATGTATTTAATGTACAACTTTCATATTTTATTATGCCACTGTGTGATTTTGCCTTCAACAATCAAATGGTCATCCCTACTTAGGCTCTCGTTTACTACAAACTTGGTTAAATGATTGTCTTTACATTGACTTTATATCTACGGAGTTTATAAAAGTCCCTATGAAATAATCAAACTAATTACGAAGTAGACTACTGTAATTCCATAAGTTTAGTTATTAAACAACAATTTTGTATTACACCACAAATTATTATATCTGGAATAACATCTAGTCATATAATTATTTCGTATAATTCATCATATTGAAATCATGAACCAATCAATGTTACACAATCATTGAAAACCTGGAAGTACCGGACGGTTGTTTCGTTTTTAGTATAAGACTCAGCAGTTTGATGAGTTTGAATCTCGTATACAAGATCCTTAATGAGTACTTCTCAAAAATCAAATATACTAGAATGAAATAGTCGTCTATGGCTTCCAGGTTTTTCAATGCTAGTCTAGCACTGATCAGTTCATAATCTCAATTACCATTCAACAATTTCCACAATCCTATACTAATAATTCATTATATATTTAAATCTAGTAAAACATAATCTAATCAACTAAAATCAATAATTTTCATTGATTTTATTACATTATTTAAGGTGTAATTGATGCTCATTTGGTTTTGCATCAGTTACATTGTAATGGTGTACTTGAAGGAATTCGTATTTGTCGTAAAGGTTTTCCAAATCGTATGATTTATTCTGAATTCAAACAACGGTAATTCAATAATTGCATTGTTATATCATAAATTGATTCAAGTTTAAATGTATATCATTGAACATTGATCTAATAGTTCTAATAATGGATAAGTATTCATCGTGACATTTGAAGGTTCTATATTTAACTTTTATTGTGGTGATGAATTCTTAAATGATCTGATTCATTTCATACTAAGAGAAAATAATTATCTAGCATTGTCTTGCTTCCAACAATATTCTAACTGTGATTCGTTTATGACGAATAAATTTCCATAAAACTTTCAGCAGTTGAGATCATGAGTCAATTGAAGCTAGACCACCATGGAAAACCTAGAAGCACTGGATAGCCGTTTCGTCCTCTTGTGGGACTCCTCAACAGTGCGCATCCACGACCCCGCCTCACGGGATTCGAACTCAGGACCTATTTTCATCAATTGAATATAAATTAAAATGAGTTATGTAAGATGAACAGATATTCCGAAAAGATCATTCAATGAAGTGGTGCAGTTGGTCAAATGAAAATATTTTCCGTTTGTTACTTGTTACTACTATAATGCCACTGCTGACGACTGCTGGATACTCGATCGGTACACTGTATAAAGAATGAGATCCCATTATATCAAGATGCACAATTCATAAATTAATTTAGAAAACTAGAGTATTTAGAGTAGATAATATTCCATTCTACACAATTACAAGCCTGTTTTCACTAGCCACACACTATAATAATTTTACTATTAAAAAAAGTCCGTGAGACTATAATTTATGAACGACCTTTGAGCGATGCTAAAGTGACCTCGAGAGTATTCACCTAATAACTAGGATCAAATGAGTGTTATAAACCAGGTTTAGAAATGAAAATTATGATTTACAGTTGATGATGAAGGTTAGAAATTAGATTTCGGGTTTTCATCATGAACTGACATCAGCTATAATGCCAAAACTCTGTTTAACCAAATGGATGAGTGAGACCTGTTATATTATACCTAATTGGTTTTTCCATAATGTATAGTTATAGATGACTTACTGAATACTTCAAAATCTCATTATGTTTACATATTAACAAAAGTGAAAATAAACAAAGATGGATAGTGGCTATCAGTGGAGTCCATGACGCGCGTCTCGTCCTGTTTGGGACTCGTCAGTTGGATGTACCTGTTCACTCTGGGACTCGAACTCAGTACCGTTCGCTTCAAACGCCATCGCGTTATCCACTTAGCTACTGAATCCTGATAGCCACTTGCTTGTGCAATGGATTGAAGTTTAATTCACTTGATATTGTTTTACTTGAATCTTCTCATTGATCAATTTCAGTCCAAAAACATCAATGGGAAGATTCAAGTAAAACAATATCAAGTGAATTAAAAGTGAAAATAGTTTCGAATTTTCTGAATAAAAAGAAACAACGAGTTAGATACAATTTAAGTTCATAAATGTATTCAATCATATATTAGGAGGAATGTAAGAGTTACTCACTGATGTTGCAAAGTACTTAAAATGTGAAACTATTAGATTCCGGCTTTTTCATATCAGAGCTTCATGTTTATCTCCTTAAATGTGAAGTTTGATCTTTTGTAAGTTTCTTGATGGTTGGTAACTATTGAGATCTAAATGGCTTTCCAGTCTTTGTGAATTAATGATGGAAATATAACAAATTATTTGTAAGATTCATTTAAGATAACAGTTAGTTGAAGATAATTGGTAGAATATTTTATCTTCCACAAAACGTATCAATAGTCATTAGAGAGATGACATCATATTTAGGACTCGAACCCGTTTTATCTAACTTTACAGTCTGAGACATTTCCACTAGACATGATTAGCTTATAGGAGTGAGATGTATATACTACTTCTATGAATCCAGTGTTCGTCTTGTTGTGCTAATGAGGTGTGGCAACTTGGACCGATGGATGTATGTGCCTGATCCTACCTTGTCAATGACTGACTGACAATGGATTGATCACTAAACAGTGACTAATCTCATATACATTTAGTTCTTTTTTAGTGATAAATGAACTCTGTCAATGAAGTTACAATGTGGGCGTTAGTCTGAACGACTTGATATCTCATATATTTGAAGGTAGTCAACAGAAAATCTTTTTAGTATACTACTACAATAGCTTAAATCATATTAAATTATATATAATAAAACTAATCAAGTTATTTCCTTTCTCATATTCTATTCTATTTTCTTTCTTATATAAAGTTACTCAATTTTGGCACCAAATGTTATACCTGATGGATTTGTTGATGGTCGTCAAGTTACAGAGAAATTATTAGAAGCAACACAATTAGATAAAAATTTATATCAATGCGGTAATACCAAAGTATTTTTCAAAGCTGGTACATTAGCTCATTTAGAAGATTTACGTGATGATAAATTAAATGGTATAATTAGTTTATTCCAAGCAGAAATTCGTGGTTATTTAATGAGAAAACAATATAAAAAATTACAAGATCAACGGTAAGTGTTGCTTATGTCAAGTCAATATCAGTAGTACATAATATGAAAAGATAAGAATCAAGATGAAATAGTATCTGAAATGGTATAAAAAACAAAATAAGTCGATTCATGTATAGTCGATTCAAGTGTAAAAACAAATCGTTTTTGAAGACATAAAGGGGGTTTTGATTTCCGTATAGCCAAGGCTTCAGTAAACTTTAGTATACATCCTTGAAGGCTTTTGTACCACACTACAAATGCTGATTTGATATCAACCTTATGACCCGTCTCAATCAAATGTTTCGCAATGGAGGATGATGTCTGTCTATCCTGTGATCTTACTTAACCATCGGGATCCATTTGTTTTTGCAACCATTTTGGTATGTGTTCACTCACCATTAATTGTAGGTCACGATTGTTCCTCCCTCTGTATGTGTTTCCACACATACATGTAAATTGATAGACGCAATGGGATGTGACACAATCGCTTTCGTGCTGTGTGGGCTTTTGGTGAAACATAGACCTTGTCTTTTTGATAATGACAAGTTGGGCTGCATAAAATGTCCGGTTGATGGCTAATTTAAGTCTCCGTTTCAGCATGAGACTATTTGTGTCGCCTCGCTTTGTGGGTGCCAGAAGCGTCATAGGTCTAGTCGTATTGCATGTATGATGCTGATCACGTTTGTACAGTACCATTGAGTACATTGATTTTAAACTTACTAATTTGATCTAATTCCGACAACCATTTCCATATATTCATCTTGAATTTAATGACAGTTATAAAGGTTGTTTCTTCTCGACGGTTGGAAACGACATAAGAAAAGTACTTATTCATCGGTTACCTGTAAAAGAAACTGAGAAATAAATGGTCCTGATAACTTGAAAACTTGATCGCAACTGTTTGAAAATGGTTACACACTGAGTTTTGTGTGTTCCCTTTGTAATTTAAAACTTTACCACTTGTAGTGAAAATTGATGACCAAAGATGGGATGTTGTATCTTAGACTAGACCATTTTTAATTTTCTTATTCAACTCGGATTAGGTGGTAGCCTCTTCACAAGTATTAGTTGTATAAAGGGAAAACACTTTATTATTGTCATATCCCGATACAATCAATAATATGATTTGACCTATAGACCTTACTTACTTACTTACGCCTGTTACTCCTAATGGAGCATAGGCCGCCGACCAGCATTCTCCAACCCACTCTGTCCTGGGCCTTCTTTTCTAGTTCCATCCAATTCTTGTTCATTTTCCTTATATCTATCTCCATTTCCCGGCGTAATGTGTTCTTTGGTTTTCCTCTTCTTCCTCCTTTGGCCTTGAGGATTCCATGTGAGGGCTTGTCTTGTGACGCAGTTGAATGCTTTCCTCAATGTGTGTCCTATCCACTTCCATCGCTTCTTCCGGATTTCTTCCTCCGCTAGGATCTGGCATTTTTTATTTTTATTTAAACACATAAAAATTGGTACAAGGAGGCACCAAAGGGATATGCGCCACATAAATCATTCGATTTGTGTGAGGGTTGTGATACTGACTGGGTGCCCAGACCGAACCAAGCGGTTTTCTTAGGGAGGCCACACCCCGAGCCTTTGACCTAAAGGTTTGATCTACAAGGCAGTGGAGCATCGTGAGGAGATGCATTCGCATGGTAGCCGGTGACCAACGATTGGTTCAGACACTATTTGTTCCCTCAGGATACTGTAGCCCATGTACACCATTGTTTTGGGATCCGGTTGAAGTGCCGGACATCCACTTTTCGTCCTCTCATTTTCGTAAACAACACCTTCGCCACAAGGAAACAGTGAGTAGGACTTCCCTTGCAGAGGCTGTATACGCGTGGCCGTGTGAGAGCATTTCGAGAGGTAGGGCAGGCCCACCCCATTCTCGGCCATACCAAGGCATTCGGGGATCTACCATAGACCTTACTTCATTTCAAATCTTACAATTCAATCTATCAAAATCTTTTTATTTCTTTTCATTTTCTATTATTTTAATATTCTAGTGTTGCCCTAACATTAATGCAACGTAATATACGTAAATATTTAGTATTACGTAATTGGCCATGGTGGAGATTATATACCAAAGTGAAACCAATGTTAAATATAGCACGTCAAGAAGAAGAAATGAAAAAAGCCGCCGAAGAATTAGCTAAATTAAAAGAAGAATTTGAAAAATTAGAAAAATTAAAAAAAGAATTAGAAGAACAAAATGTCACTGTATTACAACAAAAAAATGATTTATTTTTACAATTACAAACTGAACAAGATAGTTTAGCGGATGCTGAAGAGAAAATTTCAAAACTTGTATTACAACGTGGTGATATGGAACAACGTATTAAAGAATTAGAAGAACGTTTAGCTGATGAAGAAGATCAAGCAGCAAATTTAAATGAAGTTAAAAAGAAAATGTCTAGTGAAATTGAAGAATTAAAAAAAGATGTAGAAGATTTAGAATCATCATTACAAAAAGCTGAACAAGAAAAACAAACAAAAGATAATCAAATACGTACATTACAAGCTGAAATGGCACAACAAGATGAAACTATTGGAAAATTAAATAAAGATAAAAAGAATTTAGAAGAACAAAATAAACGTACACAAGAAGCATTACAAGCTGAAGAGGATAAAGTGAATCATTTAAATAAATTAAAAGCAAAATTAGAATCAACATTAGATGAAGTAAGTCTATGGACGAAATGGATCTTTTTTAATATCTTTTATTCGCTTTTGTAAGTAATGATGGATAGTAGCTAGCAGTGGAATCCAGTTTGATGCGCATTTCCTTCTATTTCGGACTCTTCAATCGGATTCAACAGCATCTCAGAGTTGATGTTCACGTCAGGACTCGAACCCAGTACGACTCGCTTCAAACACCATCGCGTTATCCACTCAGCTACTGAGTCTTGATAGCCACTTGCTTGAGCGATGGTACTGGGTTGGAGTCCCAGAGTGAACATCAAGTCTGAGATGAAGGTACATCCAACTGACAAGTCTCAAATAGGGCGAAAAGCGTGTCCTAGATTCCACGGCTAGCCACTATTCATCATTGCTTACAAAAAGCTTGTGAATTAAGGCAATATCGAGAAATACTCACAGTATGCACATATACCAATAAGAGACTGATCAATTGCAGTCTTAAAAAACTCAACGGGAAGATACAATTCAAACAATACCAAATGAATCTTTCATTCCTTTTTTTATTAGTTACTTACTTATATCTGTCACAACTCGTGGAGGAGCATAAGCTGCTCACTAGCATTTCCCATCCAATTCTGTCTTAGACAATCCTTTTTAGTTGCTATTCATCTCAACTCATTGTGCATTTTGACCTTCCTCTTTTGTGTTTCCCTTCAGATTAGGTTTTCGGACGTTTCGTGACTTGGTGCAAGTCACTTCTTCAGAGAATAAATGACCAAACCAAAATTAATCCAAGTTTAAATAGTACAAAGGAACAACAACTTGGATTAATTTTAATTTGGTTATTTATTATCTGAAGAAGTGGCTTACGCCAAGTCACGAAACGTCAGAAAATCTAATTTATCTACTCATTGAGATGTTACAAATATATTAGTTATTTGTAAAAATCAACCCAATGCTCAGTTTATTCGAAATTATCAAATCAAATGTTGGTAATGATACCTATGTTCGATCATTGTTGCCTTTGAAGGATTGTTAACGTCCAAGGGTAATACCGTGTTAGTAATACTGAGGTTTGGTTTGTGCGTTTTAAGATATCCACAGTAGTTTAGTTAATGTCTCTATCTTGAAGGACTGTTTTTTTGTGGCTTGAACATATGATACAAATGTCATGTGGTCGACTTCCATATCGTGCATTATTTATCGACTCTCGGACTGATTAGGGAGATGATCATTTTATGATATGGTCCCTGGTATTGAAGAAATCTGTATAAGACTGATACCATTACTCTTCAGTTGGGGTCTGATAGATGATGCAATTCAGTGACTTGAGACGTTATCAGACATGGTTCAGAACAGAAGTCAATAAGGATCCCGTAACAGTTCTATTTTTAAACCCTTCATAAAAGTGAGAGGAACTTGCTTAACTGAGAGAAATATTCTTGGGTACATATTTTTATTAACTGGTTTATTAGAAACTACTTAGTCGTCTTCCAATTAAATATCTTTTCTCTCCGTTATCTCTTCACGATTTCGTCACTTTATTTGTTTCAAGCGTACTTCCTTTGATAATCACTTGTAGTACTGTTTTGTTTACTTATCACATTATTATTATTACTTTACACTACCTTTTATTCATATAGATGGAAGAAAATCTAGCTCGTGAACAAAAGATTCGTGGTGATGTCGAAAAATCCAAACGTAAATTAGAAGGTGATTTAAAAGCTACACAAGAAACTGTTGATGATTTGGAACGTGTAAAACGTGATTTAGAAGAGCAATTACGACGTAAAGAAGCTGAAATTGGTGGTTTAAGTGGGAAATTTGAAGATGAACAAGGTTTAGTTGCACAATTACAAAGAAAAATTAAAGAACTTCAAACACGTATACAAGAATTAGAAGAAGATTTAGAAGCGGAACGTGCAGCTCGTTCAAAAGCTGAGAAAAGTCGACAACAGGTAAGTAAAATTTTGCAGTTTAAGTTACAAACTTATATTCAAAATAAAAGAATGTTAACTATGGAGAAGATGAATCATGTTTTGCTTAATTCGGTTGATCAGATGAATTTCAACTATTGAGAGATAATACACAAACATAAGTTATCGAGGGGGGGGAGAGAATGTCAAAGATTAGTATAATCAGAAGATGGATTTCATTAGAAATCGATATTAGTTGAAGAATAATTGAAATACAATACAGAAAATGAATCCACATTTGTTCAGATATTATCAACAGTGGCTAGCGGTGAGACCCAGAGCTCGCGTTTCGTCCGATTTGGGACACATCAGCTGGATGGACATGCATTTCAGAGTTGTTGTTCACGCCTGGACTCGAACCTAGAAGAAGATACAAGCAAACAACATCAAGTGAATTTATGATCCACTGAGTTGTGGTTCCATTATCTAAATTTATTATGTTAGCAGTATAATATGATGGTTGTCAGTTTTATTACTGTATAAGATCAATAATGTGCACTATTTCAGAGAAATCTTAAATAAACAATAAGGGGTTTGTTTACTTACGTACCTGGTTTTAAATGCTTCTACAGATTTTGGTGGAAAATGGTCCTTGAATTCTGAAATACAAGTTACTTATTCTTGTCGTTAGATTTCTGGAATACAAAAACAGCACACCGATCACCATCAGATTAGTACTATATGAAAGTAAAATTTAAACAAGATACATATATGTTAGTAAAACTAAGAGAAGAATAGAAATGAATGAATTCATAATACTTCTTACGGAACTTAACCAACTGGGTAATAGTGAAATCAAAATTAAGATTGCTTTATTAATTATATAATTTATTTAGAATAGATTTACCATAGATGATAAGGAAAGATAGGAGACGTATTTTATCCTATTTGTGACTAATTAGATGAATGTACCTGAACTGTACTGTTGATATTCACATTAGGTCTCGAACCAAGTACCTAATGATTGTCTTGATGCTACTTTAAGTCATAAGCATTATAAGCACCTATGGATGTTGACTAACAATGATAACATCGAAGTGATCCGTACAGGATGCATATAGTCTTAAACACAAAAACAACCAATATAAATGAATTAGATTTCACTTCGTTGTACAAGTCAGTGACTATCGGTACTCAGTAGCTAATTAGATAGATAACGTGACGGTATCTGAAGTGAATATTGCTGTGTTTGATTCCCAGAATAAATGACAAATGTGAGATGTAGGTACATTCAATTGATGAGTCTTAAATAGAACGAAACGCGCGTTATGGATTCCATTGGTAGCTATTACCCATCTCTGCTTAAATATTTATTGTTTACTTAGCTAATAAACTTTTTTCTTCTTTCTTCCTTTTTTTCAATAATATTACAATAAAAGCTTGAAAGTGAATTAGAAGAGGTTGTAGATCGTTTAGAAGAACAAGATGGTGCTACAGCAGCACAAAGTGACTTAACTAAAAAACGTGAAGCAGAATTAATGAAATTAAAACGTGATTTAGAAGATACACGTTTACAAAATGAACAAGCAATAGCTACAATGCGTAAAAAACAAAGTGATGCTGTCAATGAATTAGCTGATCAATTAGATCAAGCCAATAAAGCTAAAGCAAAGTAAGAAAAATATTATTAAATTCATATTTTATTCAGAGAGGGGTGTTATGCAGATTGTAGCAATTTAATAATTGAATTCATGAGTCAATTAAAGCTAGATCACCATGGAAAACCTGGAAGTATTAGGTGGCCGTTTCATCGTAGTATAGGACTCCTCAACAGTGCGCATCCACTATGTCGCCTCGCGAACGCTAAACCTGTAGACCACTGAGCTGGTATCTAACGGTGGGTTTGAATCTCGCGGGAGGCGGGATCGTGGATGCGCATTGCTGAGGAATCCAATACTAGGATGAAACGGTCGCCCAGTGCTTCCAGGTTTTCCATGGTAGTCTAGCTTCAATTGACTCATGAATTTAATTATCAAATTAATGTTTTACTGATGATTAAGACTAAGTATTATTCAATTACACTGGAAATGAAAGTACCCTAGATGTAAAAATACTCAGCTGGAACATTACCTCTTCTGACACTGATGAATTATTATTATTATCTCTAATATTTTACTTCACAAGGATATCAATCTCCAATCTATTTAACTTCTGAAATCTAATCTATCATTATTATGAATGGCTTTATTCAATATTATATATTTGATACAGTATGGAATTCTCGGCACAAAGTATTTCAAAGGGTTTCTTTTCCTTATTTTCTTGATCTATCCTGACGATAAATATTGAGTGGTTACCAGTTAAGATGTTAGTAATTCAAGAATCGACATTTGAATAATGTTCATTCTTTCAATGCATATTGCTAGCTAACACGATATCTCTGATTACCCTCTTTTATAACTTGTATAGTGAAATGTCGTGAATTTTTCACAAACTCACCTGAATAGATTATGCAATCAGTTGACATAATGATCTGTCAAAATAAACAAGGAAACAAATAACTTGCTGAAGTATTTAAATGATAGAAACAAGTAACCCAGATATTCAAACAAGCCGCTTGGTTACAATAATATACTTTTTATCAGGGAAATTTCTTCTATTGTTCTTGTCCTTTTTCAATAAAAAACCAAAATATGTAATTGCTGCAGTGCAAAACGTCTGATTCAGTTAGATACACACATGCTTCTTATACAATTACCAATTGTGTTAAATGAGTGGAAGCATAACAAATAACTATGAAGCTCTAATTGAAAAAAGTGAATCGACTGATACACTAAACATTAAGTCATATTCTCATATACACCCTTCTGGACCAGACAAGAATCTGATCAATTACATAACTATCACCCTTTAGTAGTGTGTGCTTAATTTATTATTTCTCACCTACTACTTTGATTCATAGACAACCTGTTTAAATCCAACTAGCCTATAATCTCACTTCTCTTGAAAAGTATCCCTTTATTTTAGGGATTGAATTGTATTAGTTGAAGTGAATAACATTTTCTCCATGACTGATTCACATCTTAGAGCGTGATTATCACTTGTGACATTGTGAATAGGTGCTAGGTTTAAAGCTATCATGAGTTCCCTTAATCTGCGAACGAGAACAAGACTCGGTGACCAAAGACCAGTAAGCTAGCTAGTGATGCGTCTCAGCCCCGCTAACTAGAGGGAGAAGTTCAAGCTTGGAATGGGAAAGTATATTATGCAAAACAGCTAGAAACGAGCGATAACAACAAACACAATTCAAAACGTATATATATACAGTGCAAAACCGTCTTTGATGAGAGTTACCAAATAGCATACTAAAAGACGCAACGGATCAGTAGCATTTAAGATATTTTCCAGTGGGAAATACGACATGAAGGTGACAAAATCGCCTTTGGCGCGAAAACAAGGGAATTCAAATTTTCTCAATAAGTTTACAAAAGTAGGTTCTTCCCCGAGTGAGTTCTGGGGATCTAACCTCCCTAACAATAAGCTATTCTGACTTTAAGCTATAATTTGTCTAATACACTGGATAGTATGATTATCTCCAAATATTTACTAATGATACTTTATTGAATACGAATAACTAACATTGATCATTAGGAATTTCGAAATAAGTATGAAAAAAAAGTTTTTTTGCATATCTGGAAGCTTCTGGGTTGTTCGGTATTCTCTGAGTTACATAATAGTTTATAATTACAATACTTTTCATTCAGTGTTTTCTAGTCTTAAATAGTTGCTTAACAAGATATCAGTTCATGAAATAAGCTACCGAAAATTAAATATTCTCTACAAAATTTCTCATAATAAAAATTAATTAGACTTAATGTTCTATTCTAGTATAGGATAGTGGAGATTGTTGAGTTTTGAGTGAGATCATGAACTGATCACCATTGAAGATCTTCAGACACTGGATGGGTGTTTCGCCCTAGTGTGAGACTTCTCAGCGATGAGAAACTGTGACTAGTGGAGTTCAACCCTGTCAGGTGTAAGGCAGTTACCCGCCTAATACAGTTGAACATGGTTGCATAATATATCAATGATTGATTGTAGTTAAACATTAACACTGTTGAATGTCGGCTGAATGGTCCAGAGGTAAAAAGCTTGCGCGTGAGATCGAAGGCCCTGAATTCGAGTCCTGCACCGAGGAGTTCCATACTGGGACAAAACAGTTGTATATTACTTCTAAGTTTTCCATGTCGACCTAACGTTGATCAATTTATGTTTTTAATTAATATTCTATATTGGTACATTTATAATTATTTTTATTCATAGGGCTGAAAAAGAACGAAGTCAATTCAAAGCCGAATTAGATGATGCACATAATCAGGTGGATAGTATTATGAAAGCTAAAGTAAGTAGATCAGTGATTCTTTCTTTTAAAGTAGTTTTTTCCCCTTTTCTTCCTTTGATGATCAGATTTATTTCGTATGTGTTAACATTATGATTGTTTCACATGTTAGATACAATTCACGTAGAAATTATTAGATATTTGTAACGATTGTTAATATCTCTCTTAGATTATGGTGACTAAACATCGTTTGTTGTCATGGTTACAAACTTTCCAAACGTTACATAAAGTTATTTTTCTATTTTTTATTCGATGTGATGTAAAATAAACGTCATGCACATTTGAATTTTGCGCGATAAAGGTCAATAGATTTTTTCTTAATTCTGATTGGTTCATCCCTATTCTATACTTTTATAAGTAATTGTATTCTGAATGGAGATTTGTGGAGATTAAAGTAATTTTAATAGTTAAATTCATGAATTGATCTAAGCTAGATCACTACTGAGAACCTAGAATCAATGAATGGTTGTTTCGTCTTAGCGTTGGGACTCCTCAATAGTGCGTATCCATGATCTCGCACACGTGGGACTCGAATGCAGGACCTTCGATCTCTCACGTGAATATTTAATCTCTAGATCAATGAGACTATTCTATTCAGAATTCATTTAACCTAATCTGATATAATTTATCTTATCTTGTTTACTTTCATTTTTTATTGAAAAAAATCTAGTTGAATTCTGAGAAAACAGTGAAGGCTCTAGAATCTCAGTTACAAGAAGTTTCAGTGAAATTAGATGAAGCTACAAGAAATTTGAATGAGCAAGCTTCGACTAAAGCACGCAGCAGTCAAGAAGTTTCTGAATTACAACGACAATTAGAAGAAGCTGAGTCACAATTAAGCCAATTGAACAAAATTAAACAACAACTAAGTGCACAACTTGAAGAAGCACGTCATAGTTTGGAAGATGAAAGTCGAGTATGTGTAAAGAATAATGATGGTTTATTAAATTAATTATGGATAACACATTATAATTTTAAGTTAGTTAACAGAAATAATCACCTACAAGTATCTAATGGTCAACTGAATTAGAGTAGTATTCAAATGGGAATTACTGAGGTGATAAAAACAGTGAGACTGACTATAAAAATCTCAAAATCAATCGTTTCGCATTAAATTTGCTGAATATCCTCCTGGTAATTACTATTCGTCGATAATTCCCTAGTAATTACCTAACACCCAATTTAGCTTAAGGCTTTAAGATCTCACAAGGACTAATATACTCACTGAATATTGTGTCAAAATGCAATAGTTCACATTACTATTTTTAATCACTTCCCGAAATAAAACACGGTCTTCACTTGATTCCGTTGGTTGTAATCTTTCTCACCGGGAGCGTTATGGCGGTTTTCAATTTCCGATTGCTTATGATGTTGAAGTATACTATTTTTTAAGATACCCGAAAAGAACAATGGATTACCGATAGTATCGGCCAACTATGAAAATGACAACATAGCTAAAGTGTTATCTACTTATTGTCGAAAATCCACAAGTTTTTGTCGTGTAGTTTTGACATATCAATTCTGTATTTTTAAAGGCCTTAATCCTGGCAATGGAATTTAGTGAGACAAAGTGACATATACTATTTTTCGGATTCACTTTTTCTAGTGCCTAACAATACAAGAAAAATAGATAAATTTCAGATTTCATTGAAAGTGATGTGAACAGATTTTCATTCAACATAGGTGTTAAGCAATTCTTCAACGTTTTATAATTGTGATATTCATCATAATCACTGCATGGGTTATTGAAAGATAAAAATAGATATTTTGCATTAAATAGGTTCTTAATTGTACAAAAACGATAAAATATGTCATTATGTTTCCGAAGCTACATCTCATACATTGTGATAACCTAAACCTTACCTACTTTGAGTTATACTCTGATTCACTTTTCTTATCTAATCTAATTTAGTACTTTCCAGCCAAATGTAGTATAATGAGTTTTTCTATTGATTGTTTGAATCTTCTCATTCATGTGTTAAGGACATTAACTGATCAATCTCTTATTGGTATATGTGCATCCTATACGGACTGCATGGATATTACCTTAAGTCGCAAATATCATAAATAGAGATGTACTATAAATGATATTCTTATATTTTTCTTTTAGATAATTCTTTTTTCTATTATTTATTTAGATGAAAGCTAAACTAAACGGTGAAGTACGTAATTTAACTAGTGACTTAGATTCATTACGTGAAACATTAGAAGAAGAACAATCAGCTAAAGGTGATTTACAACGTCAATTACAAAAATTACAAGGTGAATTACAACAATTACGTTCACGTGGTGGCGGTGGTGGAGATGTACGTTCTGAAGAAGTTGAAGAATTAAAACGTAAAATGAATGCTAAAATACAAGAATTAGAATCAGAAGCTGAATCAGCCAAATCAAAATGTGGACAATTAGAAAAAACGAAAGCACGTTTACAAGGTGAATTAGAAGATTTAATGGTTGATGTTGAACGTGCTAATGGTTTAGCTAGTCAATTAGAACGTAAACAAAATAATTTCAATCGTACATTAGCTGAATGGCAAAAGAAATATGCTGATTCTCAAGTGAGTTATTACATGAAACTAAATAAAATCACAGATATTTGTTAGTTTCTATCATAAACTGATTATAAGTCAGCAGTCAAAGGAAAATAGCAAACATTTAACAGTTGTTTCTTCTTTGTATAAAGCTTCTCAGAATCGTATATCGATGATCCTTCAGGATCTCAAACAAGAGGCTTAAAGGTACTTGTTTGATATTTCCCTTCTAAGTAATCACATAATGTTTAGTGTCTAGACTGACATCTAAACGTCTGATTATTTAGGAACCGCTTTCACGAGGCAAACTTGAAAGTGATATTGTAGGGAGAAAAATTATTAATGTTTCATTGGAACATTCATTAGTAACATTTCTGACTCAGTATATATTTCCAATTCTGTTCAGTAGATTATATTACGTTATAATATTACAAATAAACAGTTTCTGAAGTGATGAGTTTATACTTTATTTGTTGGAGATAAGTTTCAACTAAATCTTAATACACGATATTGATTGGATCTTCGGTTTAGCCTATGGTAGTCACTAATTGAAATTATTTTAATACAAACAGAATCTATCATAAACTTGATAAGACGGTAACTAATATACACAACTTTTTGAAAATAATCTTCAACAAAGGAAGCAGTAACATAAATGAAAAATCGATATTTAACGAAGGCAAAAGGTGGCATCCAGAAATCACTTGGTAAACGTCTCATTTTTGTAATTTCTCATTTTCGCGCAAAAAGCACTCACTTTTACCTTCTGTTTGTTTTCCTTACTTGAAAGGATCTTGAATGTCATTGGTTCGTTTCCTCTTTTACTACACTATTTTGTGACAGTTTCTAAGGACATTTTGTACTATATATATATATATATATATATATATATATATATATATATATATATATATATATATATATATATATATATATATATATATATATATATATATATATATATATATATACGCATGAGTTGTGTTCTTGTTCGTTCGTGCTTCTGACTGCTAATGGAATATACTTTTCCCGCTGCTGAATCTGGTCTTCTCTTTCTAGTTATCAGGACTAGGCGCAATGGAATTGTTTAGTTTGTCCTGTTGTTATGTTTCTGACTTTCGTTTTTTTCGCCAGTCTTAGGTGATATCGTAATCTCTTTAAACGTAGCAGACATTGTAGGACGAAGAATTTACTCAACTTAAAAGTGATAACAAACAATTAGAAGATAGAAACGTTCAGGTAGAAATACGAATTCAGAAAAACATCTTCAAGGTTTTGTTAAAAAAAGAATTACCAGGGAAAAGATAAAACTAGATAACCTTGAATCTTGGTAACAATTTTCATTTGAAATATCAGTTCTGAGATGCAGGTATATCCAGCTGACGAGCCCCAAATAGAACGAAACGCGAATCCTAGATTCCACTGGTAGTTACTATCTATCTTTGCTTACAATTTTATACTGCTGTAAATTATTGATAGACAATAAATATCTTTTGTGAGAACTCATATTAACTTGAATTTCATTACAGATTATTATAAATTACAACATAAAAGGAGGTTAGATATCATTAAAAATTGAGACATATAACTTCTGTTGAAGCTAATACTTACTATTCAGTTAGATTTAAATGTATACTGTACATTATAAGATGATCATAATGAATTATAAAACAAGTAAGCATAAGACAACTGTCTTGTCTCAGTTCAAATTAAACAATCCTCAGTTCATCAGAATGTGTTTTGCGGAGATTTTTAGAAATTTCACTGGTTGAAATCATGAGTCAATTAAAGCCAGACCACCATGGAAACCTCGAAGCACTGGACGGCCGTTTCAGCCTAGTGTGGGACTCCTCAGCAGTGCGCATCCACGATCCCGCCCATACTAGGGCGAAAAGATCATCCAGTGCATCCAGGTTTTCCATGGTGGTCTAGCTTCAATCCTCATTTCAATTTGATCATAGACTTACACAATAGTAATATGTCAAGTATTCGACTAGAATAACTGTTCACCAACTCTTGAATTTCAATGATAATTGATAGAAACTAAATTATTCAACAATCTTCACCACCAATAACAACCTTTCTTTCATAATCATTTTGGTATTGTTATTCTTTTTTTGGTTAATATAGGCTGAATTAGAAAATGCTCAACGTGATGCACGGGGTCAATCAACCGAAATCTTCCGATTAAAAGCTCAATTAGAAGAAGTACATGAGCAAATGGAAGGACTTCGTAGAGAAAATAAGAATTTGAGTGGTATGTTGATTGTTATGTATTGGATAAATAATATTAATTAATGATAATTATTATCATTATTACTTAAGTATGAATGATTTTAACATCTCACTTAACAATATATAAAGAGCCCGAGATCATCAGTTACACTGATCTATAAATTTTGGCTGCAAAGAGTACTGAACAGTTGACTAACCTAAACAGAATGAGAGAGAAAGAAGAAGAAAGGCGAAGCTCTTTAGCTTCGTTTCTGGACGAAACGTTTTTCAGTAACAAAATTTGTATAAAATCAAGTGATTAGAATAAATAATTTGTCACTTAGTTACAAATGAATAAGATTTCAAGCATTCAGTTGACGGAGTCAACGAAAACTGTCTATTCGACATCAGGCCTTATGGTTTTCTACAAAATTATACAATTGTTCTGATGAGATATACTACTCAAAGATATCTCTAATAATTAGGCAGTGACCCCGTGTCTTTAGCATGCCATCTTATTGTCAATTTTGTGCAAATAACCTATTCCACTGGAAGATTGCATTTTAAAACAAATCAGAGGTTATCGTAATAGCTTACTATCTATTAAGCATTATGTATGCAGTTTAAGACGCTATTTACAGTATTCACACTATTCTATAAATTTTGTCATGAATTTCACTCATCTATGATATTAGAATTTAATTGCATAATATTGCGACTTGATTATGGTCAATAATGCGAACCACATGATGCCCACTTAGTTGTTTAAATAATAAACGATCCTCAGGAGACTCGAGGGTCTTGGGTTTGACCCCCGTTTGTGAGTAGGCATGGATCCTAACTGCTGAAGAATTCCACACGAGGACGAAGTAACTGTCGAGTATTTCTTGGTTTCCAGGAGTTTCCTAAATAATGTCAATTCGCTTTATGAACTGTGAAATTGAACAAGCTTTAGTGAATAAAATAACGTTTTCGTAGTGTTAACTTATTTTAGGGTACCAGCGTAATTACTGAGTTGTTAACTTAATGATTTTTAGTACAATCTAATTTCATTTATGTTATTAGTGAAATAATTATCCTTTGATTTAATTATTAATTTCTTTTATAATTAGATGAAATTCATGATTTAACTGAACAGTTGGGTGAAGGTGGACGTTCAGTACATGAAATTGATAAAAATAGACGACGACTTGAAATGGAAAAGGAGGAACTACAAGCTGCATTAGAAGAAGCTGAAAGTGCATTGGAACAAGAAGAAGCTAAGGTTCAACGTGCTCAACTTGAAATGAGTCAAGTAAGTAAGAGAGAACTATTGAGGATAGACAGTAATAATTTTTTTCTGAGATGGTGGAGAAGATTTGTAGCTGCGGTGGATGATTCGAATGAACTTTTGTTAGCTGAGTTGTATGTTTTGGTCGTGGAGCTTTTCATGTTCTTCTGAACGAAGTCATGAGCACAAACTTCAGGTAGAAGTGACGTGTCCGAATTTCTCTACATATAACTCACAGCCTGTCCTGTCGACCTCGATCTTGACTGTATCTCTCATCACTTTGATTCTTGGTCCCATGTTTGTCTATGGAATTTCTGATTGATTGATAGGTTGGATCGATTTCAATGTGTTTGTTGATTGTTGATTGACCTGAATGCCAAACTTCTTAGAATCCTATGGTGCGTTTAGTATTCTTTTTATCCAAGGTTTAAACATTTTTCCGGTCAAATGTGTGCTTACAGTTGTAGGCATGCAGTGATATAAGCTAGGATACGTCATATAGTTTGACCGCTAATTTATGTTCATACAGACAAAATTTTAACACTATACTTTCACCCGAAGTTTGTTCTGATGATGTTGTTCAGAAGAACAATGAAAGCTCCACGATCAAACAATCCAGCTCAGAGAATAAAGCTCCACCTAAATAAGTTTTTAAACTTTCATGTCATCTTTCCTGTTATCATTCCAGAAAAAACTAATACATTTTATACTCACAGGTCATTCAGAACTTAAATTGATCAGACTGCGGAGGTCAGTGATGGCACGGATTATAACTGTATAGAGTAGAACATTAGTTCCATTAACATTACTGGTACGCATTACTAATGAGATTGATAACTAGCTTGAAACCTGTGTCTTAATAGGGTTTCTTACTGATTACATCTAGTGAATGCAAATATATGACGTACTAGTCGATGGAGCCTCCAAGTGTTATGAAAAAATAGGATACTTTTCTTAAAATCATGAATCGATCAATGTTAAACCACCTTTGAAAACGTAGAAGCAGTTTCGTCCTAATATGGAACTTCTAAGTAGTATATATTCATGGTCTTGCACGCAGGAGTCTAATCCAGGACCTTCAATCGAACGGTGCTAATGACTAATTTCGATCGATTCATGACATTCTGCAACCATCATCGATTGTTTTCGGTGAGTGACTGCTTCACACCTGACACAAATACTTTTAAACTAATTACAGTTCGAATGTAATAGCTAATCGTTTCTTCAACTGAATCTCATTTTAGGATGAAAATTACATTCAACTGATATTTTCACATTACATATTAATTAGAATATAAATGTTTAAAGAAGATTATTTTACTTCTTATTGTCATGAGATTACTATTGAAACTTTGGGCAAAACGTTTTTCATAGTCAACTTCATTCGGTGTATTTGACTTCGAGTCACAATCTAAAAGTAACGGCTAGTGCTATGAACGAGAGCACAGGTGGGGACAACCGATTATATTTTAACATAAAATTACAGAGTTAGTTGGTGAAATGTGAAAACTGTACGTTCAATTCCTTAGTTTACAAAATGTCTATGAATCGTCTCAGACTTGACTATTCCTTCATTTCCATAACAATTACTCTCTGTCCTTGTTCTCTTCTGTTGTCAAACTATTGTTTTACATAAGGAACATTCATAGTTCTGTCTAATTGTAAACATCAGATGATACTTATACGTTATGACGAAAGTCGATTCAATAAACTTTACTTGTAAATAATTACTTATACAATTACATCTAAATAGTCATTTCAATGATCCATCCTAATTATAATCACGTATAAATAGAACTGTCAATCTCATTTAAGTGTCATTTCGATTATGTAACAGCAAGTGGCATTACATCACAATAATTATTTTAACTAAACCGATCAAAAATATGCTACACTTTCTTTCTATGTTTAAAGGATAGAACAAAAATAATTGATAATATTATAAGCAAGAAGAATGGTGGCTAGCAGTGAAATCTAAGATACATGTTTCGTTTTAATTGGGATATACCTGCATCCCAGAGTTAATGTTCACTCCGGGACTTGAGACACCATCCATATTTGCTTATAATACTTGCTACCTAAGGCAATTCCCTCAGGATATACATATGCAATAAGAGACAGATCAATAACAGTCCTAAACATCAATCGGAAAATTCAAACAACCGATACAAAAATGAATTAATTGATGACATTGACCTTGAGAAATCAAAGTAAAAGCAGTACCTGTTGAGTTCATGCATGTTGGTAGACGTACTACAAAATATAAAACCAAGGGATAATGCATGTAGCTGAATAGTCGATAATGTTATACTGGAGTAATTGAAAACATATTTCCCTGGAGATTGTTTGTAAATTATTTTTGAACACATTTTCTGTGATTCACCTTTTTAAGTTTACTATTCATTAAATTATCCAATGGTTACATTTGGCAATAGTTTCCCTTTTTTTCAAGCCCATCTTTTGAACTAATATCTCTGAATGATTTTGGTAAACAAGTTGTTTCTATTGATGAGATACCCCCCCCCATTTTTTACTTTCTCTAATACCCAATATCATTTTTTTTAAAAATATTTTGTTATTTGTCTATTAATAAGATTCGTCAAGAAATTGATCGACGATTAGCTGAAAAAGAAGAAGAATTTGAAGCTACACGTAAAAATCATCAACGAGCTATGGAATCACAACAAGCTAGTTTAGAAGCTGAAGCAAAGGGTAAAGCAGAAGCTATGCGTGTAAAAAAGAAACTTGAACAAGATATTAATGAATTAGAAGTTAGTTTAGATGGTGCAAATCGTGCTAGAGCTGAACAAGAGAAAAATGTGAAAAAGTTCCAACAACAAGTACGTGAATTACAATCACAATTAGAAGATGATCAACGTCAACGTGATGATTTACGTGAACAATTTCAAGCTGCTGAACGTCGTGCAACTGTATTAGCTGGTGAATTAGATGAATTACGTATAGCATTAGATCAAGCTGAACGTAGTCGTAAAATAGCTGAAGCTGAACGTGCTGAAGCATCAGATCGAGCGACAGAAATGTCTACACAAACCGCGTCATTAGCTGCACAAAAACGTAAACTTGAAGCTGATTTAGCTGCTATGCAAGTAAGACTTAATGATTATGTTTATTTTTCTAAAATAAATAATTTAAGAATAACTAACAATAGTGAATAATGATGAATAGATTTTATTTACGTCTGGACTCTATTCAACTACTCTTGAGACCTAAAAGTATTAGTAACAATATATAGATTGCATTCATTATAGGATTCGTCATCTAAGTTAGAACATAAATAAAAACAAGGAAGCATTGAACAGCTAGTTTGCCCTAGTATATGACTCCTCAGCGATGTACCACCAGTGAGTTTTCGTGATTAGTTGACTTCAGATATATCAGGAGTGAGACATATGTCACTAAGAACATGCAGTAGTCGTTGTGCTTTATTGCGAATTGACTGAAGTTAGAATTATAACACCGAGGGCTGATTAAAAAGATTATAATACTTAAGTTTTCAGCTTCAGATCTGAAGGTTCAGGGTTCGACCACGGGTAGAATCATAGGTGATCACTCCTGATACGTTTCAAACTGGGACGAAACAGATGTTCATTGATATCTAGTTTTTAATAATATCCCAAATGAAATCAACCTATGGCAGGTAAAAATTACAAAAACAAACCAGTTTTCACAAATCGCTTTCAAAAAAATACTTGATTCAACTGAATTATAAAAATGTCTTAATGGTTGAATACTTGTAGTGTATGCTACTTATGTTAATAGATATAAGTGGTATGTAGCATCAATCAAAAGTGAAATGCCTGCCAGCCAAAGATTGTGAAGAATTTAAATGAAGAAAAGAGAGAGAAAAATTAACAGCAATCAAAATAACAACAGAAAAGAGTGGTGTAGATTGCAAGATGCAACTGATAAAAACTATGCAAATGATATTTATAATGTTAGGTCTTCATTGTTTACTAACACGCTCTGTAATTTTGCATTAACCAGTAAAGTGGTCTTCCCTACCTGGATTCTTCGCTCACTTACATTCTTATATGTTAACTTATACGAAAATTCTGAGTTATCCTTTATTATTTAGTTACTTACGCCTGTTACTCTTTGTGTAGGAGCATAGGCCGCCCACAAACTCTCGCCACCCAACCCTGTCCTGGGTAATCCTTTCCAGCTCTTTCCAGTTGTTATTCATCCTTTTCACGCCTGATTTTATTTTCCGACGTAATGTGCTCTTTGGCTTTCCTCTTTTCCGCATCCCTTCAAGATTCCAAGTTAGGGCTTGCCTCGTGAAGTAGTTTGATGATTTGCGAAATGTTTTTCCTATCCATTTCCATCCTTTACACACTTCATCATTTTTCCGATTTTGTTGTTGTTTCGATTATTCTTCGTTTTACTCCTCTTTATTTCAATCTTCTGCTAGTAAGCATTTTTTTCTAATTCTTGCTGCATACTACTTATGTATGACTTAAGAGAAAACCATTAAGATGAGAAGTGGAGAGAAGGACGAATGAAATGATTTCCATATGAAGAATGAAATGCAAATAGAACATACTGAGTCAAAGAATGAACATTTTTCAGAGTGGTAATTACCTCAAGATTTATTAGATGATAAGAAATTAGTGCAATCGACTCAAACTGACAAGTAATTTTAGGTCTTATAACACAACTTTTCTAACCATCGGTTGAAGCGGTCGTTACATGTATTCCATTAAAGGAGGTCGACTTATATAATCACAATTTAGAAATCAACTGTCAATAGCTTCATAGATTTATATTATTTGCTTGATCTGTCTATCTCTAGCTCAGCTCTTACCCAAACTACTATTACATACCAGCTAGCTTGACATGTCAATAAGAGGGATGACGAAACAAAGGGTAACAGGTATTATTTCCATCTTATTAACATTAATAGCTTCACATGTATACACTTTAATTATTGTATTGAAATCATGAAGTGTTCGATGTTAAACCACCATTAAAAACTTAAAAGCAATAGACAGCCATTTCGTTCTAGTATGGAGCTCAGTAGTACTTACCCATGATCATGCACGTAAGACTGGAACCCTGAACCTTTGATCTTGCGCACAAATGCCTAATTTATAGATCAATGTGCTAGCATCTAACGGTGTTAATGTCTAATTGCAATCAATTCACAATATTTTGTGCGATCATCTTCCATTTTATTCAGCGAGTAACTATACCTCACCCAACCCGTATTACATTCCCCTCTTTAATTCTCTGATTTTTCACTATTTTGTTGTTGCATTTTTTATTAGGCCGATTTAGAAGAAGCTGCCAATGAAGCTAAACAAGCTGATGAACGAGCTAAAAAAGCTATGGCTGATAGCGCACGTGTATTTGAAGAAATTCGTCAAGAACAAGAACATACACAACATGTTGAAAAAGCTAGAAAACAACTTGAAATACAAGTAAAAGAAATTATTTGATATATTTTGTTTGTTTTTAAACATTTTATACTGAACTAAAGGCAGAATAGCTAATTAGCATAGTCTTATTATTAAAGAATAGAATTTATGTGATATAGCTGTGAGTGCAGATTAGATGGCAGCGAATTATCGATCGGCTCAAAGACGCGTAAAACAAGTAAGAACGACCTACAGTCCTGATTGGCCCTGCTTTCCGCCTAGCCTAGCCAGTTAAATCCAGAAGGCAAGTCTCAGCCTCTGAGATATGAATCATTATATTTCAAGCATACTGAGTTTATATACCAATCAAACAGATCACAACGTACCAATAAAATATGTAACAACGTTTGTATAAGAATTAGCCAGATGTGACTGTGAATGAGGGAGGTAGTAATCAATATACTGAGTATAACTCAAGAATGGTGAAACGCATAATAATAGTTCATAGGTCAAAATGAAGCTTATAGTAAGAGGAATATGAATATGCATACTTTAGTTAATTAATAATTATACAATAGAAATATACGTTTAATATTGGTCCATAAAAGGATTCCAAAGTTACCATTCATTATGTTTTCTGGGGTCCCAACATTATGCATTCTGTACCAGATTATTTTTGTTTGTGAAAGTTTTATAGGATTTCCGAACTTTGTCCCATTAGTGGAATTGAAGACCTGTGTTTCATCCAGTTTTTTTGTTTTTTATGTTTTGAAAACTTACCATCTGGATATACTTGTATCCTAGTGTTGACATTCACATTTGAACTCGAACTCAGTAATCTTTGTTTCAAACACTAACACATTATTCATTGAATTACTGAGTTCAGACAAACATTAACGTTTTCAAAGGATATGATGTTTATTTCATAGACATTTATACTGTTTCATTTGTGATCTAAATTAATATTTCAATGTAACAGTAATAACAATTCCAGATTTATTATCATTTCAATTATTTAACCGATTCTTTCTTCATTAATTAAGGTAAAAGAACTAATGGCTCGTTTAGAAGACAGTGAATCAGGTGCTATGAAAAATGGTCGTAAGGCAATGGGTAAATTAGAACAACGTGTACGTGAATTAGAAACAGAATTGGAAGCAGAACAACGTAGACATGGTGAAACTCAAAAGAATTTAAGAAAAGTTGATCGACGAATGAAAGAAATTAGTTTACAAGTAAGTTAGTTATTCATTGAGAAAAGAAAAATCTTTTCAGTAAAACAAAAAAAACCTACATATTTATGATGTCAGTAAAATGAGAATGAAGATAATCTTCATTGAAGAATGATATCATTGTGAAGCACTGGATACTGACTGAATTATTTGTTATTAAAGTTCTTTCAACGAGACTTATTAGTTCTGGCTTCGATTCCCAATAATGGGATCGTGAATTTACACACAAGTGAGAATTGGTACACTACGACGAAATAGCTATTTTAATATTTTCAAGTTTTCAATGATTGCCTTACTAAAGTCAATTCATGGTGTAAATGATAGAAACTAAAGGAATCATTTATTTGGAAAGATTGTTTCAAATTGAAGATTAAACATAATGTATATAATTATGCTTTTTGTATGTTTCTAGGCTGAAGAAGACAAAAAGAGTCATGATCGTATGCAAGAATTAGTTGAGAAACTTCAAGGTAAAATTAAGACATACAAACGACAAGTTGAAGAAGCTGAAGAGATTGCTGCTATCAATTTAGCTAAATATCGTAAAATACAACATGAAATCGAAGATGCTGAAGAACGTGCTGATCAAGCAGAACAAGCATTACAAAAACTTCGAGCTAAAAATAGATCATCAGTATCAACAGCACGTGGTGTAAGCGCTGCACCAGCTGGTGGACCTGGACATGCAGTAAGTATTCATTTTTAAACTATTCTCTACAATCATTGTCTGATAAGTTATTCATCCTAGGTAAGGTCAACGGTTTCATTTATTTCAAAAAATCTTATCAGCTATGGATTTAGAAAGTTGAGTTGCCTATGCAGCATAGGCAACATCTTTCTGCCAGCGAAGAAATGCTTATACTGCACAGCATTTCGTTCTTCTATACTTTATGATTGACATATTTGGCCTTTAAAAATATAGGATATTCATTTAAAGCTTTCTTCGATGGACGATGTTGTTTAGTTCAGGAGTATGTTGAAAGAAATTTGGGGACGGCCAAATGAAAACATTCCATCAGTTCACAAAGTCAATGACTATTAGTTTAAACCATTTAGGTTTAGGCTATTTAGTTGAAACCAACACAATAACCGTGATCGGTAGTTGTAAACGTTACATAAAACATCTTATTATAGTATTAGCAATTTCTAAAAAAATGAGATATGATTGTGTGTAGCTGAAGTTTCAGTTAAACTGTTTTGACGTAGAAATAAACATTTAAGTATATTTAAATTCACTTGGTATTGTATGTTTGAATCTTCTTATTGATGTTTAGGACCGCAACTGATCGGTCTGTTACTGGCATTTGTGCATACTATGTTTATTGCTTCGATATAGCTTAAATTCACAAGCATTATATGCAAGATGAATAGTGGCTAGCAGTGGAATTCAGGATGCGCGTTTCGTCAATTACAGTCCTAAATATCAATAGGAAGATTCAAACAAACAATTCTATGTGAATTTAAAGTTCACCCCACTGCACAAACAAGTGGTTGTCAAGACTCAGTATCTCAGTGGATAACGCGATAGCGTTTAAAGCGAACGGTGCTGAGTTCGAGTCCCAGAGTGAACATCAAGTCTGAGATGCAGGTACATCCAGCTGACGAGTCCCAAACAGGACTAAACGCTCATGCTGGATTCTACTGCTAGCCACTATCCATATAATTTAAGTATATAGATTTAATAAAAAAATCATATGTAGAAGTTGTTCAAGTTTGATGTTTTTCAGTTAGTTACCATTATTCACTATTGAATGAAATCAACCAAAGAACTTACTGTTAAAAGGTAGGAAAGGAAAACATAGTTGTTTCATCCTATTTCAGGATCATTCAGCGATAATAATCATCACCACTTTGTACTTGCTATTTATAGTTATTCAAAAGAGAATTCTTTGAATTCGTTAAACGATCTATGGTCTATTGAATACTACCATTCTTTAAATTAAGCAGATATCATTGTTAATACTGGTCGATTGTCTATCTATACCTCGAATCAGCTAAATGTTTACAGTAATTTACATAATTAGATACAGATTCAGTGTTTAATTGTTATTGAACCATATTATACCCGGACACTGAAGTATCTTTGTTGAATTCTGTGTTTGTAGAATCCTAAGTGAGCGCTTCTAATGAGTTATTGGGCGAGATTATAAATATATGGACGAACCAGTCGGGTATAAGTTAACAGGTTTCGGATTTTGGCGCAAAATTCACTCATCCATTTGGCTAAATAGAGTTTTGGCATTATAGTTTATGTCAGTTCGTGATAAAAACCCTAAACCTAATTCCTAATCCTAACCATTAACTGTTAATAATAATTCTAATTCCTCACCCTGGTTTATAACCCTCATTTGATCCTATTTATTAGATGGACACTCTCAAGGTCACTTCAGCGTCGCTCAAAGGTCGTTCATAAATTCTAGTATCATCAGTAATTCTCCATACAAACTTCTTAAATTCATTCACTCGATATCTTCCCATTATTGATTAGGACTGTAATTGATCAGTTTATTGTTGGCACATATGCATCCTATGCAGATCGCCTTGGTATTGCCTTAAGTCCCAAGTTTCATAAGCAAAGATGGATAGTTGCTAGCAGTCGAATCGAAGACTCGTATTTCGTCCCATATGTGACTCGTCAACTGGATGTACCTGCATCTTAGAGTTAATGTTCACTCCGGGGCTTAAACCCAATACTGTTCACTTCAAACGCCATCGTATTATCCACTTAGCTACTGAGTTCTTTTCTTCATATTTTCATTTATCTAATTAGTTTTAATAACTATTATGAATAGTATTCCATGGATTTTTCTTTTATTATGTTTTTTTCTTTAAATATTTCTTAATAGAATCGTGCTCGTAAACCAACAGCCAGCTTAGCACCAGAAGAAGAGTAAATCACATAAATTAACAATTGAATTGCTATTGACCAGTAATGAACTGTATTCTAAGAAGAATAACATCATTGCAAATGCTTTCTATCAAACTGTTCATTATTATTTTACATTTTTGCAATACCCTCTAAACCCCAGTTCGTTTACTTTTTCAGCTTCATATTTAGTTTTAGATCAATTGTATTCAGTACATACTTATTTTTTGTGCATTTCACTCTTTCTATATATCTGTATTAGTATATATGTATGTATGTATGTGTGTGGGCTTATAGTGAACATCAACTAAAGAATACTAACATAACATTAATAATAATAATGTGTGTTAAGACTGTTTGAAAGGTGAATCAATTACATATATAGAATATAGTAATAGATACACATACACAATCATGTATACCTACCTTTCCCTTGGCTATACACCTATTGTCTTACCTACCTACCTACCTACCTTCCTTCCTACACCTAAGTTCACCTATACACCTACTTTGTGTCACCTTCAACATTTGAGATCATTGTTGAAGGTTGTTTTGAACATTGTTCAGCGGTAGTGTGTTTTTTTATTTAAAAAAAACACATCAGTTTCAGATGAGCTCCTTTACCCTTTGCAATAAAAATAACAACATCATTCAATTGTGTTTAGGCTCATCGAAAATTCACTTTTTGTTGGTTTTTCGTTGGTTTCGTACAAACATACATATACACACCAATTTTTATTTGTAGTTTTGTGTTATTAATTGTTTGCTCATATATATAAATAAATAAATAAATAAGTAAATATATATATATGTAAACAAGAGACAACAAATCGTCATTGGTTCCTATCATTTTGGCTCTAGTCTATGGAAATAAACAACTATAATGCACAGAATCTACCAAGTTCCATACAAACACACACACACACACAAACATATATATATATATATATATATATATGAACATTTATCTATAAGCACTTACATTCACATTGAACATGATACTGAGTCTCGCTAAAAAGAAAAGAAAAGGAAACCAAATCATCATATATACCATCTCTTTATTTGTCTATCTAGACCGTCTTATCAATAATTATGCACCATATGGGTTAAGTATCGATTTGAAAAATTAAAAAAAAATATATCTATGATCTATAATTGCTAACTGGTCTTAATACATTTATTACAATAATTAGTGACATACATATACAGGTACCGTTTTCTTTTACTTTTCCTTGTTTTGTCTTCTATTTCAAATCTCTTTGCATTTTTTTTAAAAAAAATCTCTGTACTTTTCTTTACATAATGAATAATATAAAAATGATTGTATTGTAAGTGGAAGGACTACTATCTTGGTCTCCATTTCTTACACACACACACACACGCACACACTCTATGTCTCTATGTATTCATTAAAAGTAATATTGTTTATTCACTGCAATGTTTCTCATCTTACCTATCATTATTATCATTATTCTTAATAATAATAATAATAATTTATTATTATTACCTAGTTTACAAGTCTACTTACATTGGAATACAAAAAAGTAATTTCATCTCCCTTGAGAATGCTAATCATTGAAATGAGTAATAAATTCACTTACTCTATATGTTTATTGAATAGTCTTTGACTTTTTTGTTATTTGGTTATGTAAATACTAGTGAGAATAATCGTTTACATAGTGCAGTAATACTGAGACCCATTAGTAGATGATGATAATAATATGTGTGTTTGTTGAATTCCTTTGAGATTATTGTATCGTGTTTGACGCTAAGTAAAAAAAAAGATCTGTAAATGTCTAGTTTCGAGATGAGGATCATTCATTCTTTAAACGACCGTATTTCCGAACTATAAACATGCACATCAATGGGAAGATTCAAGTAAAACAATACCATGTGAATTAAACTCCACTCCATTGCACAAGCAAGTGGCTATCAGCACTCAGTAGCTAAGTGGATAATGCGATGGCGTTTGAAGTGAAAGGTACTGAGTTCGAGTTCCAGAGTGAACATCAACTCTGAGATGCTAGGACATCCAGATGATGAGTCCCAAACAGGACGAAACGTGCGTCAAATTGGATTCCACTGCTAGCCACTATCCATCTTTGCTTATAATGCTTGTAAATTAAGGCAATATCGAGGCAATACGCACAGTATGCACATATGCCAATAAGAAACTGATCAATTGCAGTCTTAAAACATCAATGGGAAGATTCAAGTAAAACAATATCAAGTGAATTAAATGTAGTTAATTTGATGTCTTTTTGGCAGATAATCAGACTATTAATTGTGCTCAGTAAACCTATTTTTCAACATCTTTCAGAAGGTAGAATCCTTTGACAACTGGCTGAATATTTAATTAAACCAATGAAATTATATAACGCTTGAGCAAAAATGTATATGAAGGTTAATGGTGATTAACTTGACCTGAAACTGATGTAAAAGGGTTGATCACCGTTAGGAAACTTTAGAAAAAGCTTGTTTATTCGTAAGTGCTTGAATTTTGTCATTGCTGATATTGAGGACTGAAATTTGATCAATCTCTTTTGGTAGATATGAATCGTCATCTAGTTGCCTCAATACATCCACCTAATTACAAGCTTAATAGTGAATAGATAGTATGTGGTCAGCAGTGGAATTTAGGATACTTGTTTCGTTATATTTAGGACTTGTCAGCTGGGTGTACATGGCACATTCCAATGTTGATCTTCACACCGAGACTTAGACCCAGTACTTTTTCCTTCCAATACACAACACGTTATCCATCGAGGGTTTTAATTGTCCCTACGGCATTTTTTTTTAAAAAAACCACCAAGCTACTGATTCCATGCAGCCATTAGCCTATTCATATACAATAAAATACAGGTACATCCAGCTCAAATAGCAAGGAACCTACGAAATGGATCTCGCTGCTAGTAACTCTTGATCTCTACTTGAATAGTAAAATAAATACGTTCCCACAGTTCTACTGGGAGTTTATCCCCTAAAGATAATGTTCCTAAAAATATCAAGATAAATTTTAAAAAATATGAGAAATGAAACTAACAGTTTGGCAGTTATCATTATCTGGTTATTTAACAGGTTACATCACATAACTTGAATCCTTTTTTAGATGAAATACTTCATTACCATATCAGATAGATAGACGTATGTTTCATGCAAGTCAACACTAATCAACAAAACATACCTACATCATTGAAGATGATATTGTTTACCGAATAGAATTTGAATAGTTAAGTGGTAACTTCTTTCGTTAGGATACAAGAGAACACAGATTTAGACTTCATAAATGAGACCAGATCTCTGATAAACTTATACACTACTATCGAACATATTAGTGATGGAGCAGCATTTGATAGTCATATAAAATGGATAGCTGCTTTCTTGTTAATTACAAGTTGGGGTATGTAGTGGACGAGAACTCAGTTCGGAACAATCAAATATATTTGAACACAAAATTACAGAATGAGAACCATACAGTAAATTCTTCATTTGCAAAATGTCAGTCATTTGTCTCAGACTTGACTGTCCCTTCGTTTCCATACCAATCACTTTCTGTTCTCTGTCCTTCGATCTTCTTAACCTGTTACTGACAGACTGATGACACACACTACTTATATTTGTCGATATCAGTAGTACACACCACAGTATAAATAATCACCTCCCACCTAAATCGAGATATAAGTTTACACAAATATTACGCAAAATTTGTTTTGTCTTCAGCCTACTTAATCGAGTATTATTTTTATGTATCTTCGTGAAATACAACCACAGGTCATGCTGTTAATACCACCGAGTATGACACTGAATACTGTAGAATAGCAGTCGTATTTGTTGTCAGTCTGTGAATTCTGAAAAACTACACTGACCCATTTGTCTACATTATACTTTATCAGTTTTGATAACTGTGAATCTAAATGACAACACAAAATTAACTGATAGATTTATTCCAATCAGCTACAGTTGTGGCAATTAAATATATATATATATATATATATATATATATATATATATATATATATATATATATATATATATATGTTGCAAAAAGTGGAAAAGCATGCTCTTACTAGATACCTATTTTTTATTAAAATTATGAATCAATCTAAGCTAGATAATTGTTGAAAGCCTGGAAGTAGTGAACGGTCATTTCGTTCCAGTATGGGACTCCTCAAAATACATTTATTGATAAACTTGATACAAAATGAAAATGTATACCTTTTGTTACCTTATCGGAGCTAATTTTATAAATATCAGTAAGCTCTTGTACCTTAAGACGCCGACAAATTGGTTTTAGTGACCAAGCATTTACTGATGGACATGAATTTCCTGAGCTTGATCCTAAGTGGAGTCATGAATACGAATGGCTAGTAAATACCATACAAAAAAGAAATAATTGTTCAATCTCCTCTCGTTTCCAATTCTATTTCGACGGATATCAACGTGTAAAGAATACAGTTCACAAAATAATTAATTTCTTATCACTACTCAATAGATTTGATATCCAGTCATTCAGGAAACACCTATCTGATAGAAAATTAATGATATATCTATTAATTACGCACTTACTCCTTACTCCTAACAAATGGGTGGAGACTCTGGGTGATATAAATCAGAATCGATCACAATGGCGTCGGTGTATACACTCTATGTCTGCCCTTAAAATATGAGATTAAAGTTCCTTTATTTCTTTCTTCTTGTACTATATCCTCATATGCAATGTTTCTTTTATATATTACCACTATTGTATTAACTACTTCTATGAATCCGCTGTTCATCATGTTGTGCTGATGAGGTGTGGCAACTTGAGTCGATGCAAATATGTGACTAGTCCTATATTGTAGCTACCTCACTGGCTTTTGTTACCTTCACGGAGGAGAATAAGACACTGACCAGCATTCTCCATCCACCTCTATCTTCTACAATCCTTCTCAATTGTTATGCATACGTTTTTTGTCTCCTTCCAATTCCCTACATAGTGTTTAATTTCATCCAACTATTTTTCGATTCCGTTCAGGATTCCACATTAGTGCTTGCCTCATATGATGATGATGATGATGATGATGATGATGATGATGATGATGATGATGATGATGATGATGATGATGATGATGATGATGATGATGATGATGATGATGATGATGATGATGATGATGATGATGATGATGATGATGATGATGATGATGATGATGATGATGATGATGATGATGATGATGATGATGATGATGATGATGATGATGATGATGATGATGATGATGATGATGATGATGATGATGATGATGATGATGATGATGATGATGATGATGATGATGATGATGATGATGATGATGATGATGATGATGATGATGATGATGATGATGATGATGATGATGATGATGATGATGATGATGATGATGATGATGATGATGATGATGATGATGATGATGATGATGATGATGATGATGATGATGATGATGATGATGATGATGATGATGATGATGATGATGATGATGATGATGATGATGATGATGATGATGATGATGATGATGATGATGATGATGATGATGATGATGATGATGATGATGATGATGATGATGATGATGATGATGATGATGATGATGATGATGATGATGATGATGATGATGATGATGATGATGATGATGATGATGATGATGATGATGATGATGATGATGATGATGATGATGATGATGATGATGATGATGATGATGATGATGATGATGATGATGATGATGATGATGATGATGATGATGATGATGATGATGATGATGATGATGATGATGATGATGATGATGATGATGATGATGATGATGATGATGATGATGATGATGATGATGATGATGATGATGATGATGATGATGATGATGATGATGATGATGATACATCTATACCCATGTAATATTAGTTTATCTTCATTTTTCTCGTGCAATAATTACTTTTCGTGTAATTAATCGTAATTCTAGACAAAATCAATCAATAACACACACACATGCACACATGCACACGCACAAAGCAGGTTCAATTAAATCGATAATGAATATAACTCCTATTGAATTAAATAAAACATTCAATAGAATAAAATTACGTACTCATCAATCAATCAATCGATCGATCAATCAATCGATCAATATCTATACATAATAAACTGATTATTATTCATAATGTAAATAGGATTACACTATTCTTACAAAATCATAATCACTGTGTAACAATACTCATAATAATAATAATTAATAATCTGTATTAAATCCTATCGGTAAAACTTGTTTGATTATTAATTAGTTGATTATCATTGAAATTAGATCTAGACAAGTGAATATATCTAATCAAAATACAATGTCTACTAGAAGGAATCACCTTCTAGAAACTAATGTTACTAAGGAGACTAATAATAATCATAGTAACTATTTACAAAATGATGAAATCGAATTTGAAATGTTTCATTTAACAAATAATTTATTGATTATTTTATTAAGTGTATTATGTATTATTATAATATTATTATTACTTATTTATATTGTATATCGTCGATTACGACATCATCATCATTCACAATATTTCAATAATCCATTCAAAATTCATAGTAAGAATAAGAATAAGAATAATAATGATGATGAATATGTTTGTTTTACAAAATCAAATCAAGTTCCATTTAATCGTTATACACAAATTCAAACACCAGAATTATCATTGAAATCATTTCATAAATCCAATGATCCATTCACTTATTATACAAAGGATCAAAATCATGATCACAATCATGATGGTGGTGATGATGACGGTGATGATGATGATGATGTGAATGATGATTTTTATCGTGAATTTAATGAATCTAAACCAAATTATAATTATACAGAACATTATCAAACTAGTTATATTAAATCAAATGTAATACAATCTACACAACAATATATTGAAGTAAGTTAGTATTATTACATTAGAAATAATGATTGGGACTATAATGTATGGACGAATCAATAAGATATAAGATAACATATTTTGGAATTTAGCGCGAAATTCATTCATCTATTTCGTTTAAGAGAGAGCTTTAGGATTTTTGTTAATGTCAGTTCATGATGAATACTCTTAGATCTAATTCTTAACCCTAACCATCCAACTGTAAATTATAACCTTTATTGGTGACACAAGTTTATAACACTCATTTAGCCTTAGTAAGTAGGTGAACATTCTCAAGGTCACTTTAAAGTCACTTAAAGGTCGTCCATAAATTATAGTCTCTGCGAAATAATCAATTCTCATATATATCATATGATGGAAAGTATTATTTAAGAGAGAGAGAGGAAAGTATCAAGTCTTAATCATGAAGAAACTTAAAAAAAACACGAGTTTCATCCAATTTGGGACTCATAAGCTAGACGTAACTGCATCTCAGAATTCATGTTCACTTTGGGTCTCGAACTCAATATCGTTTGCTTCAAAAGCTATCATGTTATCCACTTAGTTACTGATCCCTAATAGTTACATGCTTTTGCAATAGGGTGAAGTTTTAATTCACTTAGTATTATTTATAAAAATCTTCTGATTGATGTTTAGGACTGAAATTTGTGGTTGAAAATACTGATTATACAATTTAAAATTGTATTTTTGTGATGAGACGAAATTATTCTGTTTAATATTAGAAAGAGGTTTTGTGGATACTATAACAATTTAATGATTGAGTTCATGAGCCAATCAAAGCTAGACCTCAAACCATTGGACGGCCATTTAGTCCTATTGTGGGAATCCTTGGTTCGAATCCCGTGGGGCGGGGTCGTGAATACGCACTGCTGAAGAGTCCTATACTATGACGAAACGGCCGTCCAATGAAATAAATGAACTTGATAAAGGTCATTTTCATCATTAAGTTATATCAGTTAAAAAGCAGGTAAAAGCCGAGTAAAACTAGATATCTTTTATTCTATTCTATAACTAATCCTTAGTGTTCATTCTATAACTGAAACAGAATTAAATCTAAAATCTTTAGATTATGTGATAAGAACAATGTGATCAAGTTACTGAGATGGAACCAGTAAAGAATTACACTTTAGTGATGAGTCTTAAAGTTAATCAAAACAACTGTCTAATGCCTTTTTGGTCATAATAGTTCTCCAGTAAATTTATCTTTACGCTATAAATTACTCACAAATTATGCAAAATCTTTGCAATATCAACTTCATTTACAACATTGTCTTATTATTATTATTATTAAGTTTCCTTTTTTTATTTCTTGATGGATATTGACAATAAATATTGAGTGATCGCCAGTTTACATGTTAACAGTTCAGTCAATCAACATCTGAATAATATATTATTCTTTTTGATGGATAGTGCCAGCTGTCAAGATGCCTCTGATTGGGCTCTTTTATAACTTGTACGGTAAAATGTCGTCAAAACTTTTCACAAACTCACGTGAATAGGTTATGCCATGAATTAATGATCTGCTAAAACAAACAAGGAAACAAAAAACGTGTTGAAATATCTAGGTGGCAGGAATAGGTAGCGAAGATATTCAAGCAGGTCGCACATATTTCAAAATAATAACGATGCGATTCGTGTGAAACATCCCATTTGAATGTTGATGCCCATCTTCAACATGTCACAATTCGTTTTACCCAGAAAGAAAATCAAAGATATTAATGTGCAATATATACCTATAAATGAATGAGTTATATTAATAAGTCAGAATGGGTTTTGTGGAGATTTTAGAAATTTCATTGGTTGAAAACATTAGTCAAATGAAGCTAGACCACCATGGAGAACCTGAAAGCACTGGACGGCCGTTTCGTCCTAGTATGGGACTTTCTAGCAGTGCGCACCCACGATCCCGCCCTCCCACCGCGAGACCCGAACCCAGGGCCTATAACTCCCGCGCCAGGCGCCTAACCAACTAGACCACTGAGTCGGCATCCAACGGTGTTAATATCTAACTTCAACCAATCCACGAAGTTGCGCCACCGTACACCATTGTCTTCAGAGAGTTACTATCTGACAAGTGAGCCGCTTGAATTCCACTGGTCACTACTTCTCACTAGAACTCCAGGAGTATCTCTTGAAGTCAGTCACTAGTGAGCAGGTGATTATAATCAGAATGGGTTTTGTGGAGATTTTAGAGTTAATTTAAACAAAACCTTTCAATAGTGACTATATTTTAATTAATGACAAACTTCATTCATGTATAATAAATTCATTTATCACTACTATATTACTAATAGTAACAGAGAGAATTGTTTAAACCAACTGTGGTAATCTATCAAGTGCATTGGAAATATAACGAAGTATTAATCATTAATAATGGTATCTATATTCATCTGTTTTTGATGAAGTTTTGTTCTCCGAACTGAATGGTTTGGTTGTGGAACTTTTATTGTTATTCTGAACGACATTATCAACATAAACTTCAGGTAATATCGTTCAGATTAGGAATAAGTACTCCATAATCAAATTATTGAACTCAGAGAACAAAACTTTATCAAAATCATTCATCTTAGCTACAAATCTTCTCCATCATCTACTATATTTACCTCTTTTCAGTATACATATTTCTCACTTTATTCATATTATTTTTAGTCGGCTGAATTAAAAAGAAGAAAAGAACATTTCCATAAATCAACAAATGATAAAAAAAAGTCAGAATCACGTTCAATAGTTGAAAACAATAGTAAAGGTATTCGTCGTGTAAGTAGTACACCAAATTTACCGGTAAGTGATTACATTAGTATATTCAGGGAAAAATGATATTTTAATTATTATTATTTGTCTAACATAATATAAAATTTCTTTTCAATATTACTTACTTACTTACTTACGCCTGTTACTCCTAATGGAGCATAGGCCGCCGACCAACATTCTTCAACCCACACTGTCCTGGGCCTTCTTTTCTAGTTCCATCCAATTCTTGTTCATTTTTCTCATGTCTATCTCCATTTCCCGGCGTATTGTGTTGTTTAGTCTTCCTCTTCTTCCTCCTTTGGCCTTGAGGATTCCATGTGAGGGCTTGTCTTGTGACGCAGTTGGGTGCTTTCCTCAATGTGTGTCCTATCCACTTCCAGCGCTTCTTCCTGATTTCTTGGTCCGCTGGGATCTGGTTTGTTCTCCCCAACAGTACGTTGTTGCTTATAGTGTCCGGCCAATGGATCTGAAGTATTTTGCGTAGACAACTATTAATAAACACCTGTATCTTCTGGATGATGGCTTCCGTAGTTCTCCAGGTTTCCGCCCCGTACAGTAGAACTGTCTTGACATTTGTATCGAAAATTCTGACCTTGATGCTGGTTGACAGACAGTTGTTTTGAGCTCCAGATGTTCTTCATTTGTAAATATACTGCTCTTGCTATGACGATCCGCACCTTCACATCTGCATCAGATCCATCGTGTTCATCAATGATGCTGCCCAGATATGTGAAGGTTTTTACATCTTCCGAATTTTCTCCGTCAATTGTGATTGGATTGGTGCATTCTGTGTTGTATCGGAGAATCTTGCTTTTTAATATTGGGTTATAGAATTTATCGGGTTTTATTGAGATCACAAATTGATCTAATTTAGAGAACCAATGGAAATATGAAAGCACTGGACGATCATTTCGTCCTACTATATAACTCATCAGTAGTTTAAATTAGACCAATTAATGAGCTCAAGTAAAAGATTATTTTATTGAGATTATCTTTAAAATCAAAAGAAAATTTAAAAGAATTAAATCTATGAATATACAAGTCATCTGCCAACAGTCCACTAAATGAACTACATCATAACTGAATATCTCATCTATGTTAAATGAAAGAGATGTAACTGTTTATAGTTTATTTAAACTTTAATTATTAACTTAGAGTAAGTACAAATTATTATGATACAACTAGTTAGAATTGCAAAATCCCTTTAGTTGTCAACTGTAATAAAT